TTTTGGGAGTCACAAATTCTGTTTTCTACATGTTAACTTGAGATGCCTGAGACTGCCAAGTAAAGATGATAGGTAGTGATTTATTTTCATAAGCAAAATTAGAGTTCAAAGACGTAGTTGCTAGTGGATGAGAACACCAAAGTAGAAAATATAGCGAGAGAAAAGAAGTCCTAGGACTTGAGCTTTGATGAACTCTTAATATTGTTCCAAGAAGAGGTCGGAGAACTGGGAAGAAACCGAGTGTGGGGTCAGTCACAGTGGAGTCAAGTATGCTTTAAGGTAAGACTCAGTGAGGGTGTTGACTACATCCTTGGCATTCTGAGCCTGTGGATAAGAAGATAAGGGTGGATGCACTACCTGACAGGCTCTTTTCGTCTTAGCATGGTAGGGCCTTCCCTCCTCCAGAGTATTTATTTTTACTACTTTTTCTGTTGCCTGCTGGACATTATTTTGCACCTGTCCTTAACATCCTTAGTAGAAAAGTGACACCTGGCATAAAACAGGCATTTAATAAATACTTGTTGTTGAATGAATGGTTTTCTCACACATACAACCCATGTACAAATAGTAGTGGATGACTACCTTTAGGTTTTGTTCAACTAGCAAGTACACATCAGGGTATACAAGTTTTGTTGATTTATTCTCTCTGGCGACCTTCAGAAACATTCTTTTATAAATTACATGAGAGTTCATTGATCACAGTGCTTTTAATAGATTTATTTTATACTTGGGAGGTCTATTTTGGTACAGAAATCTGGTTTGGAACAGATAGTATTTTCTCCAGGTACTTAATACATCGTAGATATTTGGCTTATAAAATATCTGAATGTCTGTGTGAGACCTTGTGCTAGGTGCATTAGGACAGAGCAGTGAAAAGATGAGGGTCTGTGTTCTCATGGAACTTTAGACAATAAACTTGATTTTGCTTTTGGAATTCTGCAACATAATTGTTCACATATTTTGACTAATTTTTCACTTTCTTTAGAGCATTTGATTTCTATTGCTTTCTCAGATGTACTTTGATGTTCATTTATGTGTTTTATGTTTAAGGGACAGGCTTTGGAGCCCAAACAGGACACTTACCAAGGTCAAGAAGCAGCTGCAATGATGGATCAGAAGGCAGCATTATATGGGCAGACATACCCGGCACAGGGGCCTTCAATGCAAGCCAGCTTTAATCTTCCGGGACAATCACCATCTTTTAACTCTATGGTGAATCAGATGAGCCAGCAAGGCAGTTTTCCTCTCCAAGGAATGCACCCTAGGGCCAACATCATGAGGCCCCGGACAAACACCCCCAAGCAACTTAGAATGCAGCTCCAGCAGCGGCTGCAGGGCCAGCAGGTAACAACCAGTCAAGTCACATGCTCTGCTGTGGCCTGAACCGGCTTTCACTGTGGCCTCCTCTTTAATTTGTTTTCAAACTGTGTTCTTCAGAGCTCTTGCGCCACTGGCTCTCTATCCTGTATCAGCTAAAGAAATTCCCTGTATCAAGTCCTTAGTGTTAATAATCAAATATTTAAACCTTATTGATTTGAGCATTCTTTTTATGGAACCTGTGCTTTCTCTTGTGCTCTCTTAATATTCTGAGACTTGTATTTTTTTTCCTTCATGCCCAGCAAATTTTAAAATTTAATTACTTAGATTGTTAGTGTCTTGGGTGTGTTGAATTAAATGTGGCAGAACTGAACCATTCAAGCAGATGAGTGAGTTTAGAATCCAGCAAACCAGAGATTCTTCTAGTATATTAATATTCCCAAAAGTCAGTTTGGATACTCAGGAAAGCTGTGTTAATGTGTTCATGGTAGCATTTTACTTCTTTCCACTAAGTTACCTAGGAAAACGTAACAGAAGAGTTGTTTATTCATTGTTGTTATGACCAAGTTAAAGCTATTTTTCTAAGGACATACGTTATCCCAGAAAAAATTTGACTTTATAAATCCTTTGAGTTCCTGTTGAAGATACTCTTTTCACTGCAGAATTATACTTTCAGATTTTCTGTTGATACCAAACAATAAAGCTTTATATGCTAGCTAAAGACTTTGAGCATGAACTTTTTTGAAGTGTGAAATTGTACTGGCTCGGCTTACATGTGACTTAGCCAGGTTAATGGGTTTGGAGATGCTGTCATGACCTACTTGGGTGGTGCTGAGGATTTGGAAAGCTATTTTGGGCTCCTTACCATACTCTATTTCATCACCCTGTCTTTCCCCAGTTTTTGAATCAGAGCCGCCAGGCACTTGAAATGAAAATGGAAAACACCACTGCTGGTGGTGCTGCAGTGCTAAGGCCCATGATGCAGCCCCAGATAAATTCCCAGGTGAGAATGACAGGCCTCTCTGTGCTCACTGCTGTGTGTCCAGCCCAGGGCTGGTGCATGGTGTGCTCTCAGGAAGTGTTCATTAAATGAATATAGTAATTCCAACTTCCTTGTGTAAGAAACCATCTCATGGTCCTATGACACTTTTTCTCTTCCATTCTTCTCTCTTGCTGGAAGAATCAGAAGAGGAGAGGTTCTTTTATTAAAACCACTGATGTGTGTTTTTTACATTAATTGCCCTTGTGATCAATAGCTGTGTTGTGAGAACCACTGTCAAAAATTTTAGGACTTTAAAATAAACTAAACTTTTCTCTGTTCTTGGATTATGAAACCATATGCTCACTGGTAACTATAAGAAGTATGAAGAAGAAAATAAATAATACATAATCCTGCTCTCAGTGGCAACTTCTGAGATGATCTGTTTCCAATAGTGGGAGGGATTATATTAAAGTTCTCACTACCTCCAGCCCAAGGTGAGACTATATAAGGTATTTTCTTAATGTGCATGAGGCAGATGACTACATGAAAATCCTTTATTGTGGCTGGAAATATTGTTCATAATTATTGTTTTAAAAAAACTGCAAATTGCCCATCTTTCACCTGCTTGGAAATACTGATACCTACATTTTCTTGGTAATCAGACATCTTGTATAAGCTGAGCTATGATGCCTTCCAAAAAGATGGTAAAAGTTTGCTTTTTGGAGCTGATCTCTCCCAGCTGGTAGGGCCCAGATTAGCATCCTTGTTCAGTGATTTGATCAGGTCACCTCCTTAATCTCCAAAGAGCTTCTCCTTTCAGAAGGTTTAAATAGACTACATGACCTTCTGGGATGGATTCCTGCCTGAATATAAGCACATCCTTTTTTCGGGGGGGGGGGGGGTTGCCTTTTTGTCCCTCCCCTCCCATTCCTGGCCTTTTCCTACTTAAAATTGCATTTCATATATTCTGGAAAGTTTGTCTTCAAATTTTGCCCCTGCATGTTCTCTCACTTTGAGGAATGTTTTTGAACTGTGTTAAAGCTTGACAACTCGAATGCTTTCACCCACATAATTTCCAGGCCCTTCTTATGCAGCAGCCCCCCTCCTCCATCCTCCCCACAAATAGACAGAAAACTTTTACTATAATGTGAGTTTTACATTTTTCTTTTTTCATAACTATAAAGACAGTGGTTGTTTTTTTCCTCTCTGATTACCTGATATATCGTGGGGTACTATATATACTATATATATGAAATTGTCTGGTTCTATGTGTGCATAACTGCATTCTTCTTGGACATTAGCAGGGTTTTCTTAATGCCCAGATGGTTGCCCAGCGCAGCAGAGAGCTGCTGAGCCATCACTTCCGACAGCAGAGGGTGGCGATGATGATGCAGCAGCAGCAGCCGCCACCACAGCAAACGCAGGCCTTCAGCCCGCCCCCTAATGTGACCGCCACCCCCAGCATGGATGGGGTTCTGGCAGGGCCGGCAATGCCACAGGCACCAACCCAGCAGTTCCCGTATCCACCAAATTATGGTAAATTTAACAGTGAAATTCTCTTTTCCAAAGTAACCTGAGTTAGGACATAAGGCTCATGAGATCTGCTGCATATTAAAAACAGAAATACTATTTACTCCCTCTTGTTATTTCACAAGGACAACAAAATTAAAAAATAATGTGATAACAAAGTGTACTGCAGTTTGCATGGAACTGTAATTGAGGAAGATGGTCTGTCAGAGTTGAGTCTTTTTTTTTTTCTTTCTTTCAGGTCTTATTCTTAATTTCTATTTTTTAAAGTTCCCTACATCTCAATTTGAAGGAAAAACTACCAGGTCCTTTTCTCCAAACATGTCCCAGTGTAGTAGAATTCTGCAGTTGCTGGATGGCTGGTCAAGTCAGTAAGAGAAATGCTCTGATGCATGTGGGCTGCTGAGGTCCTTTTCTTGGTGACTTGGGCATAGTAATTATAGTAATGCCTATAGCTCTCCACGTCAGCCTTCAGGAGGTCTCAGGAACATGGTGAAGCTGGGTAGAGATATCTGTTGGGGAGATGGCATGTTAGCATGCATCTCTGTCATCAGGGGCAGTAACTCCTCTGCCCTCCAAAGAAGGATAGAGTGATAGAGTAGCATGATATGGAGCCCCTTTTCTACTCTGAAGCAACTACTTGTCAAGTGATCTAGACAGTGTGCTTTCCTTTAGTAAGCCTGTTACTCTAGCTGTCACCATGGTGACAAGCAAGGTTTCACTGGCAGGCAGCATCTTGTAGCTCTTTGTCTCATACTACCATCTTCCCCATCTTAAAATTACTATGGAAAGCTGATATTCTAAGGAGATAGCATTTGAACATTGTAATTTCTTTTTCTTCTTTCTTTTTTAAGGAATGGGACAACAGCCAGATCCAACTTTCGGTCGAGTGTCTAGTCCTCCCAGTGCAATGATGTCATCAAGAATGGGTCCCTCTCAGAATCCCATGATGCAGCACCCTCAGACTGCACCCATGTATCAATCTTCGGAAATAAAGGGCTGGCCGTCAGGAAATCTGGCTAGGAACAGGTGAAGAACGGACTTTAAAAGTCATTCACATTCTAGTGCCCAAAGTTTAGGATTAATCTGCATTTTTTTCAAGCCTCATTGGGTAGAGAGATCAAAAGGCCCGGTTTCACTTCATAAAATGTCTTATTTGACTCATTCATTTTGAGAATGCTTTCTACATATGGATGAGGGTATTGAGTACAGACAGGTGTGACATAGAAGGCAGGCTGTCAGGGAGTTCTCTCTCTCATCTTGTTCTCTGCTTAAGTACAGCAACATTTGACAAAATTGTGATAGTCTCTGTGTGCATGTCCTGTGTTTCTAAAATGACCCAGGAGATAATTTGACACTTTCTTTACAGCTCCTTTTCCCAGCAGCAGTTTGCCCACCAGGGGACTCCTGCAGCATACAGTATGGTGCACATGAATGGCAGCAGTGGTCCCATGGGACAGATGAACATGAACTCCATGCCCATGTCTGGCATGCCCATGGGTCCTGATCAGGTACAGAGGTCTATCCCTTACCTTTCTCAAAGTTATTCCTGTTCGCTGGAGAGAACCAAAGCCTCAACTGTACTATCTAAAGATCCTAGGTAGATTTTTAACTTGGATGCATAACTTAATATAGTCATTGAGAAAGCTGGTTTGAAGGCATTGGGCCATTAGATACTTGGGGTAATGTGGGATCTAAGGAATCTGAGTCAGCTAGCAAGAGCCATGTTGCAATCCATCAGTATAGACAAAGGGATGCTTTTCTTTTGTGCAAAGCATGTTTTACTCACGTTACTTCTGGTTGCTAACAGAAATACTGCTGACATCTCTATACCAGGACCTCCAAGGAAATCACTGTACAAATGACACTGTACTAGGATTATCAGGAGTAAAGAGTCACTGTTCTAGGAACCCAGCTTTGAAGGATGGACCAGCTTTGATTGCCTTCCAGGGTATTCCAAGTGATGACATTTGAACAGGACTGTATTCTAAGCTGAAGTGTGATATCTTCCTGTTTTTTTCCCCCTCTTTCTGTGTATCATGGAGTTCAAAACATATTTTTGGTGTTCTGCGTCTTAGGGATGTGATTCTGGAGGTATGGAGTGTTACTGATCACAAAAGTCCTGTGTCACTTCTTTCTGCCTGGCTATCCAGTCTTTCAAATAAATGTAGGTGGGCCAGAGAACATTGGAGAAACAGAGGACATCTGGTTTCTGTACTTAGAGTATTGGACCAAGACTAGTAGTCCCAGTCTACATGGTTTTTTCCCTACCAGGTAGCTCTGTGTTGACCCTCTGTCCCGTGGAATTGGCATTTCCAAGTTCTTGTCCTTTAATGATAGTGTTGAATTGCTCTGATCCTAGGATCCTGTTGTTCTAGGCTTTTTCTTAACTAGGATTCATATTCGTCCTGATGTTTTGTAATGCTTCACTTACAGGAATCATCCTTGATGTCAAATGGCTTTTACATAAGGCAAAACGAGATGACAGTATTTAATTGCAGCAGTAGCAATTTTTCACATGCTAATGTGCAGCCAAGTGCACTTTATTTAAGAAATGATGGATAAATGCAATATTCTGAGGTCTTGAGGAATGATGAACCACATTCCTGGTTTTTGTCTAAACTAATATGTTGGGCAAGAACTGTGATTTTTGTTGTTCTTGTTGAAAGTATTGGTGTCACCCTTAGCCTATATGGTAAAGCAATAATGCTTTTTGAAAATAAACTGCAGAAAATCCAAGGCCAGGTACTGCATTCTGAATCAGAATCTCGCAGTGTTTCTGTGAATAGATTTTCTTTTGTAAATACAGCCTTTAAGATACTGTATTATGTAAAATATGTACATACCTTTTTTGTAGGTCAGAACAACTCATTTTTACAGAGTTTGTGAAGGTAAATATTTAACATTGTTGATTTCCGTAAGCTCAGTGTGGTGAGGTTACAAACTGAAGAGATAAACCCTGAATTTTGTGGCTGGGGCAGGGACAGCAGTTCACCGCTTATCCTTCCCCAGCCTTAGAGGCCTCGCTCTTTTCAATCTCTCAATCCAAACACTTTTTAAAGAGATCATTTGTTTAGATGTAGGCATTAAAAAAAAAAATTTTTTTTTAAATTCCTCTACCAGAACTAAGCACTTTGTTAATTTTGGGGTAAAGAGTAGATATAGGGGGAAAAATGTATCAAGAATTTAAATAGATCAAACAATTTGATTTAAAAAGAATCTTGGATTTTAAGTGGTCTATAAACAATAGCAATTTATGTTTTTTTTAAAAAATTGAATGGTGTCTTTTCATCCATTTTAAGAGTGCTCTAAGGTTTTGGTTGCTAGAACCTGAATCCCACATTGAGATCTCAGAAGTGGAATCCTTGATGTGTGGCTTCTGGTGTATGCTCTGCTGTCTTGTCATTTTACTGTGTGATGTCTTCATTGCCCCTGAGAATTAGAATAGTGTCATGGTTATTTAAGGAGCTCAGTCTCCAAAACAGCCAGTTTTGCATAATTCAAAGCTGTGGTCTGACTGAGTGCCTTTGCACTCCTTCCCTCTCCTGCCGCTGCCCCTTTCTGCTGTTGCCACTCCTTGTTACTTGTTCTGGTTAGTTGGGAATAAGGAAAAAAAAAATCAAGTCTAATTCTCTTTATCTGCTCTTTTAGGTCTAAGTAGTTGAATAAAATTGGGTTTTTTGAGTATCTGAATTTCAAATGTCTCTGCTAGCCTTGGTGTAATTTCCTAGCAATAATTGAAAGCCAGTTAATTTTTTTCTATTTCACACATCTAGCCAGTCTCTCTAGGTGTCTCTGAAGGTAAGATCATTTAATTTCTTTGATTTATGAGTAAGTGAAACCTGTATTTCTAGAATCATCACTAGAGTGGAGTTGAGTTTGGCACCCCCTAATCCCTGCCCACCACCCAGTTAAAAATAAATGTAAGATTGTAAGTCCATCAACTTCCATCATAGTGGCCTGTACTTTTTCAGATAACATATTTTGCTGTCTGGAGGCAGAGGCATAGCTGAGTATGAGTCTCTGTCTTTTTAGACACAGTTGTGGCAGGTGTGCCTGAACTCTCATTTAAGTCATGTCTGCGTGGGAGAAATAGAATGGTGCTTACCTTTCTTGACTTTTAAAAATTAAAAACAAGAAAAAATATAACATTTTGTGATTCTTTTCCTCAATCCTGATGCCAGGCTAACTGGAAAGCAGGGCCCCTTTTTATATGGAAAAAAAATGTTTTTATATCTTCTACTTGTTCCTTTTATTGGTGCAAACTTAAGATTTTGGTTTTCTTTTAATGGAGGCAGTCTTTAAGAAATTGGTTGTTTTTACTTTTATTGTCCTTTTCTCTTTTTTGGATAATTCTTTGTACTCCTGCTGCTTACCTCTTTTACCCCGTCTCTTTTTTTAAACCTTGGTATTTTTTGGGTAGATAGTACTATAAGTGATCTTTTCATCTGCTTTTAGAATGTGAGATATTTCCAGTACCTACTTTTTTGCTGAATCCAAAGATATATAAATATATATATTTTATAAAGATCAAAAATGATATGAGACACGTTTCTTCCTTTAAAAAAACAAGTAGAAATTCATTGTAATGTTATACCATATTCCTAAATTGTGCATCGTGATGGAAGGTGTAAATATCAATCAATAGGACTGCTTAATCAGTATTTAATATCTAAGGTGAGTTGGGGGGTGTCCAGGGGTGGGTACTGCGGGAACACAATTGGCTCTTCTGTGATCCAGAGGTAGATGCAGCTGGACAGCAAACAGAATGGATTGCCAGTTACCCATATGCCTGTCCAGTTACCTTTTTATTTGCAGAAGCCATGTGTTTTGTGCACAAGTGGGGAAGTCACAGGAGTAAAACCTCTCGGATAGATGGCATTTTCCCCCTGCTACAGAGGAGCAAGAACTGTTCTGCTCCAAAGTGAACTATTTAATAATGAGCATGGTGTTTTTCTTTCCTTCTTTCTCTTTCCAATATATGGAATCTTGAAGAAGATGGAAATGTCATTCTGAGAGCAATATTTACATTCTCAGGAATTGACTTTATAGTATTGAGAATGAATTCATTTCAATCAAGTTTACATTAAATGTTGCTTTAAAACATCTGTCATTCTTACACTGCAGAGAACTCAAACCATGTGGGATAACTTCTGAGATGGGTGGGAAGCTATGACTGCTTTGCTGATCATTTTAGATGTCACTGTAAATAAAGTTTCTATTTAAAATTGAGGTATGAGCCTTTTTTTAAGTCCCTATCGGGTTAATGGTAAAAAAAAATCTTGTGTCAAATAATGGTAGTAGTTTTGTGAGGTTAAATCTTGAAAAGCGTGAAACTGTTCTTATATAAAAGTTGTAGTGGCTGAGGTTCCTCCTGCATTGCTACCTAAACCAGGATAAACTACCAGGTACACAAAGGTAAATAGCTTTGCTATTGATTAGGATGTCACTTTTAATAAGTATTAAAGCTGATGTAATTTGAAACTTACCTGTGAAGTCCCTGAAGTATGCAATTTTAGTCATTAATTTATAATCATTTATAATTAGTTTATAATCATTTCCCCTTTAAAAACCCTCTAAACCCAAGGCATCTCCTTCTAGAAAGGTGTTGATGGGTAGTATCTTGAATGCTTGCTTTTTAAAAAAAACCAGACATACCAAACTACTCCCAAGAATGGACTTTTACAAAATGTCAAAGGTTACCTCATACCAACTGCTGGTCATTGGCTGGGGTTTTGAACATTGTATGACAATACTTAGACTATAAAATTGCTTTACAAATACAGTTTCATTAAAACTTGGGACATACATCAACATTTCTTTTTAGTGCTTTAAAAAATATCAGCTTGGACATGAAGAGTGGGAGAAATGGCATCTGGTCAGGAGTATGAATGTCCACAACAGCAAGGGGTTTTCTTTACACTGGCCACAGCGCATTTATTGACACCACCACTCTTGAAAATTGGGTTTTCTTATTAGATTCCCCTAAAAGTTTCCACGCTGGTTACATGTAAATAGTCACATATATGTATATACAGTGAAGTCAATTTCTTCAGAGGCAGGCAGGGTTATAGTGCTAGATAAATGCCACTTCTTTTGTGCTACTGACTCACTGTCAAACTCTGTACCATTTCTAGCACTTGTAAGTTGCCTCTATCCTGCTTCTTAGTTCCTTCTTTGTGATGACCCAAAAGAGTAAGAGGATTTAAAACAGGGTTGTTTTTCCCGTGGTTTAAAAAAGAATTCCAGTGACCCTTGGGGGAAATTTCTAAGCAAAGCTCACTCTGTTTCTTGTGAGCTTTTCAAGGAGGGTTAGTGGTGACACTTTGATAAGACAGTGCATTTTGTGTGGCTGGTGAAGTATAATCCAAAGCAAAAGCAGGGGCAAAAACGGACTTCCCAAAGCATTGCTCCTCCTGCTGGTTCCATGGACAGAGGAAGTGCTGTGTGTCTCAGGTCTCCTCGCTAACAGCAGAGGTGCTGAACAACTCCATGGTTTTCATTGTCTGTACAGTGTGATGATGCCTTTGTTTTGGGGGGGGGGGGTGTCCACCTTGTGCCTCTTAGCCTTCCCAGCCTTCCCACAGTTGTCCCCTGTAGGACAAAGCAAACATCTTAGTATTCGATTATCGTGCCACTTACGAAATTTCCTTAATCAGTCCTGAGTAAGCTCTGCGTCAAGGATATAGCTCCGAGAAGGAATATTTCTTGGTCCCTTAGAAGGGCTTGCTACTATCAAATCATCCAGTTTTCATTGTTGTCTGACACACTCAGCGGCTGGCTAAGAGAGCATTAAAAGATCTGGATAGGAATAGTGGCAGAAAAGAATGTGAAACATAATTAGGTGCTTTAATTTTCGGGGCACCAAAGAAATGCTTAGCTGGCCCATTATTACTGGCCTAGTAAAGCCACATAGGCTTAAATGCATATAAAGAAAAACAAGTAGACCAGAAGTTGCAAGCAGCTCATTAAGGGAGTTGGTTTGCCTAACTTCATGTCAAAGCAGTTGTTCGGGTCAACAAAAAATTCTCCTACATAATTGGGATTTTCCTGATGATTTTGGGGATTCAAACTGCATTCCCTTTGTACTGTACCTTTTAGGCTAGAGGTAACCCTTCCAGGTTGCTGTAGTCTCTTAGCCCTGTCATCAGCCTCTTGGCATTGGAAAGGGAGTTTGTAACACGGACATACTGGAAACTAATGAGGCTACACTACTGCTGACGTTATGGACCAGGCAGCCCTTCTGCAGCCATAGCCTTCAAAATGTTTGGTATTTATACTTAAATGTTTTTCAGCCTTTAAGGAATACCTTAAGTTTACCAAGCTGAAATTATTACATAGATAATAAGAGTGTATTACACAAGGTATTACTCTAAAACACGAAGTGTATTCAAGTATGTTATTTTACAGGAAAGATATTACTGCTTCTCATTATGGGAACAAAGGAGGGTATGAAATAAGAAATGGCATGCACACAGAATAATAGCCTTGGCAAAATGAGGCAAGTCAGACCAGATCTCTATTTGTAAACGGGTTCCTCAACTCACAGCGATTTGGAAGAAGGTCTCTTCATTTCTGGCCACTTCCGACGCTGAAACTGCCTAAGTTTTCAAGTGTCAAAAGGAGAGAATAAGTGTTAACCATCACCAAGAAAGAAAAAGTCACCCTGAAAGAACTATACAAAGATGGTCTCTTAGGTGACACCTGTCACTGGTGGGTGACCAGGCCCCCAGCAGACCAGACAAGGGCAGTGTCTCAACCTAACGTGCAACCTCACAGAGTTTAATAGGCCTAGATCATGGGAATGTTTTTCTGTTAAAAACAAAACCAAATACCTGAATTGCTCATAGCTTCCTCCATCCTTAAGTCCTAAATGGGAGAGAAACAAACAAAAAGAAGTGTTATCTTGGGTAAAAATAGCACAAGGAATAATAAACTTTACAACTGCCTTTTTTCCTTTTTAAAAACACCTGAAGCTTTTTGTCACAAACCCATAGCATTGTTAGTGGTCCCTAGGCAGATGAAGTGGGCTGGATTACAAGATGTGCTTCCCCTTGGACTCCTGGGCAGCCTTGAGGATTGCCTACACTCTAGTGTCACCTTATTAGTTTTAGGCTCCCGATTGCATTGATTCAGCACTGACCATTGGCCAAGGTGGGGAGGCAGACATGGGCATGAATTCCTGTGCTACCTAATGAGGCCAGAAAGCCAAGGGCCCACAGCAAAGTGCTGTGGGGAGATTGGGGTCTCTGGTCCAGCAAGTGTCCTAAAGGATGTGGCAGTGTGATCACATGCATAGGCTTTGGAGTCAGTTGACCCGGCTACTCTACTCATCCATAAGGCAAGGACAAGCAGATTGACCTTGAAGGGTTGTCATAAGGATTATCAGTTAATAACAGCATGGTGACTGGCAGATGACACGGAGGTGATATTTCAGCACTGGTAAGAATTCACCAACTTTAGGGGATTCCAGGTTCACTCTTTACATATGACCTCCTAAATTCCTTCCAATGGTAACCTCGCTCTCAACAGGCCTCATGTTGGGGCATCTACTTACCCAGGTCCATGTTTCGAGTCCGGGGGTTACACTGTTTATAACCCTTGCAACTCCTTAGCTCCATGAGCTGTACGTGTAGTTGATTGAGGATATCCCTGTCCAGTGTATTCACTGCATTCATCAGCTAGTTGGAATAAGGTAGGTAGGTTATCAACATGGTGGGTGCAGGGACCTCTATCCTCTTCCACAAATCAAGGTGCTTAGGAGAAGAGGTGTTAGGGGATGGAGACCTCTACTTCTGCTGGAGTTTGGAACACTGAGGACTACTTTGTGCCTCTAGCCCCATCAGGTTCTCTCTTGAGAGAATGAAAACTCAGGAGAAATAAAAACCATCTCTGTGTACTTTGAACTGGAGCCACTGCTCAGGAAATGTACCAAGCTTGGCAAGAGCCCTTACAAACCGTGTGGTTTCAAGCAGCCTCCACTTACCATCCCTAGTTCCTTTGGAAAGCAGCCATTGGTTGAAGGGATGGGTAAATGACCGGGGTCCTTGCCGCTTCTGGGAGCTACCAGTGACTGACCTACATGCTCTGTCAGCCATTTTTGTAAAATAGGAGGATGACCTACCTAAGGAGAAAGACTGGCAACTTGTACGATAAGCAAAACAATGGAACTGCTGGCATTTAAAAATCAGACTTCATGTGGAATGGTTGTCAGGCTTTTCTTGAAACACTGGGGATCCAGCAGTACAAAGGCCCCACTGCTGAGATTCTCTGGTGCGGCTCAGCAGCGACTTCTAGAAGGGACAGGCGCACCTCACCCACCAGAGACCTCTGCACTCCTTTTTGTCTCAGATGTCCTGGGCCACTTGAGTCACAAACGTGCTTAGACTTAATATATGGGAACACTTAGGAAAGTGTGTGGCACCTAGTAAGTGCTGTGTGTTAGCGACTCTCCCCCCACATGCATGGTCCCTGAAGGTACCAGAGTGTACAGGACTGGCCTGACCCAGACGACCCCCGAAGCTCTACAGTTGTAGGAGTCTTGGTAAGTTTCCCAGAAGCCTGTTCTGTCACTCCCAGATGCCTCAGGTAGAGGAAAGGAACTGAACAGGGTCTAGATTACAGATGCGGGAAGATGGAGGCAGACAAGGGCGAACTGCACAGTGAGTCCCCAAACTCTTAACAACTCGCTTCCACCATCTTAAGGACTCCGTGGGACTTGGGAGATGTATCCCTACTTGGGAGGGCCTGCCAGCACCCGGGTACCCCATGTCCCCACCTCTCCAGTTTGTGCTGTCTACCTGGTAAGGGTCTGTGTTGAGATCAAAGTACTCCAGGAAGCCGGTCGCAAATTCACAGAAGAGGAAGTTGTGGGTCTCGTTGATGGTCCTCATGCACCAGTATGTGTTATTGTTGGCGCTGGTGCAGGCGCAGAAGGGGCCCACTGCCAAGGGAAGAAACCGAACTGCCAACGGGAACCAGACCCCCAGCCAGTTCCTGCCAGGACACTTGACCCCAGATGTTGGGGAAGCTGGGCTGGTAAAGAGGCACTCAAGCTGGGGGCAAGGTGGGCCACTGAGGCCCAGGGAAACCCCTACCACCCAGTGCCTGTTGGCTCGCTCACACGTCCAGAGAGGCGCCGTCTGCCAGTGCTGGTTGTCATGGGTAAAGCACGTCAGGCCCGGCATGCTGCATGTGTCATTGTTCTGCAGTCGCTTGAGCAGCTTGCGAAGTTTCTTCTTGCGCTTCTGCTCCCGCAGCAGCCACACTTTGTCCTTCTCCTGTAGACCCTTCCTGTGGGCACACAGGGCCGCACCTCTCACACCTCCCTCGGGCCCTCACCTTGAACCTCCTAGGAATCAGGTCCCTGAACCTCTGCCCTTCTTAGAGCTGTGGGCACAGCAACAGCAGGTCCTCGAAGGAAGGACCTTTGCCCAAGTACCACTGCTGGTAATGGCAGGGCTGGCGCCAGACCGCGTCTATCAATCATCCTGTAGCCCACCTTATTTCCTGAGGCAGCACAGAGGTGCAGAGAATTAGGAGGCTACCTGGGCTCTGCTCACACCTGTGCCCTTTGGCCTGCGTCCTGCCCTGCTTGGTGGGGTTGCAGCAGCCCCTTCAGCCACAGGGGAGCGCCCGGAGACTGACTCAGGGCAATGGGGAGTCAGACCTTTTCAATAACTGCCCCGCTCCCACCGCCACCGCCACCGGGAAAGCAGGACTTTTCTTCCTTGTGTGTTTTAGGTTCAGGGAAGGCACCTCCTCACTGGTGCCTCCTTGTGTTCCCTGGGCCTTAAGCTGCCCTTACCTGAAAGGATGCAGACTGGAGCCTCTGTGGTCGGTGTGGGAACTGTAACAAACCCGACCTGGGCTTCAGAAACTGCTTCCAAGAGCAACTCCTGTGGGTAGGTGCAGACTGGGGCTCCCTGGGGCCCCTGCCCCTCTTTCTGGAGTGGTGGTGGGGAGGTCCTAACCCTAGAGTGGCAGCTCCCGGCTGGCTGGCACCCTCCGAAGTGAGCAGGGAGACCCTGGCTGAAGGCCTCAGGCCAGACTTCGAAGCTATGGCAGCCATAGGCTAGCTGAGAGCAAGCCGGGCCTGGCTCTGCATGGCTTCAGCCTCAGCCTCTGAGGTGGGCTGCCCCAGATGCCTGCCCCCATCATGGTCAGGGCCAGCCTGGGGGAACTCATGCTGCACAAGCCCTTTCAGGGAAGGTAGCAGAGCCTCTACAGGTGTGGTCTGGTCAGCCGCCACTAGCCACATGTGGCCATTTCAATTCAACTAAATAAAATGACACATTCAGCTCCTCAGTTACTCTGGCCACATCTCACTGGTCAGTAGCCACACGTGGCTGGTGGTGCCATACGGACAGCACAGGCACAGCCCATTCCTACCGCTGTAGTCCTAGCCCAGGGCAGGGCGACTCGATGTAGACCCTCGGGCCAGGGGCTCCCTGAGCTGGTAACATGGAGCACAGGCCACATGGGCTGCCCCCAAAGGGCAGTGAGCAGAGGCACTTCCCCTCCTGGGACCCAGCCCCACGGGCTCTTGTCAGCAGTGCATGAATCTGGGTGCCCGGCCAGCTGCCTGACTGGGGCTGACAAGTGCCCAGTGGCTGACAATAGGGATACAAATCATTACAGATTTTTTCTTCTATCCCCGAGAGAGGAGTCATATAAACAAAGGAGTCACAGGGGTGCTGTGCCCCTAGGAGGGTCCGGCAGGAGCACTGGGGCCTTCCTGGGGTCCATTCACTACCTCTTCACCTGATTTTGTGACAATCACATTCTTCTGGCCGCTTTTTCTTCAGGTGACCTCGGACTTCCCTCAGGTTCTTAATTTTGTTCTGCAGAGTTTCAATCTGAGGGCAGAGAGAGATGGCCGTGAAACTTGGGGAGCTGCGTGAGAAGGGATGGCCTGATGGTTGCCCCTGGCCCTGCCTTGTCTGTGCTCAGCTGCAGAGCCTGCTCCCCAGGGACCCCTCCCACTGCCCCTTGTGTGCTGAGGGGGTCCTTGGCTCCACCTGCCAAAGTAACTAGGCTCCAGTGGAGAAATGCAGTCGTCCGCCTGTCCTGTCCAGGAACCAGCTGAGCCCACTGAGGACTTAAATATCCTCAGCCCACAGGCTGGTTGAAGGGACTAAATATGGTGTGAACATCTTGTAAACCAAAGAGGGGTATGACGTGACGATGCCGCCCTCCCTTGGCAGCCAGCTGCAGGGAAGCTGTCGATCTGATGGGAGGCCTGGAGATCCTGTCCCTGAGGCTTCTGTGGGGGCCTCCATCCCCTGGGCCTGGCCTCACTGCCCTCCTGGTATGGCCGGTAGCCTGCCGAGCTCGTGGTGGTGAGAAAACAGCTCTCCGCCCAGACTCGCCTCACCTCGTGGTCAATGTGCAGCTTGTGGTCTTTCCAGGCCTGCAGGGACTTGTACAGGTCCAGGTCACACTGCACTGTGTCATTCTCTAGGATGTAGCACCTGCTTGAGAGAGGGGATCACGTGTGGCTCTGAGAGGGACCAGCCAGGTGCCCAGGAAGTGCTGGCACCCTTGCCAAGGCCTAACCTACCCCTTTTACCCCAGACCTCTGGCTGGACTCTCACCGATGTGTCACTTTAATGGGGTTGGGGGCTGAGTAGTCCGGAAGGCCTCCAGTGCCACTGAAATCCCCGCCATCCTTGTCGTCTCGGTCCTCAGGGGCCCCCGGCCAGTGTCGCTTGGTAAGGTTGTGAGGCTGGGATGTGTCATCCAGGCTTATGTGGTGTACCTCACCATCCACCTCGATGGCCACTGAGCGGATGGCACGATTACGGGCAAAGCTGGCCTTGTACTCTATGGGCATTAGAGAGGGGCTGGGTTAGTGGGGTTGGAAAGGCTGGCCTGGCTCCCTGGGCAGTGGACTCTTGATCCAGATAGGGCCATGCTCCTAAGCAAGAGACTCAGTGTTGCCCAAGGCTGGGTGGCCCATGAAACCTGCCCACCAAGGAAGCAGGACCTGGACCCCAGCAGAAAGGACCTCAAGGTGACTCAGCCAGGGAAAGTGAAGTCCTAGAGCTAAGGAGGAATTGACTTGAGATGATCTCAAGAAGGAGTGATGCATGGATAAAAATATGTCTATACAACAGAATAGCCATAAAGGAATGAAGCAGTAATTACCACATGCTACAATGTGTTTGAATGTTGAAAATGCTATGCTCTGGGAAAGAAGACACAAAGGCCACATGGTGTATGATTCTATTCATGTGAAACATCCAAAATAGGTAAAAACAGACAGAAAGCAAATAAGTGGTTGCCAAGTGGTGGTGGGGGGAGAGTAACGGGATTTCCTTTGGGATGATGGACTGTTTTAGAACTAGACAGCTAGGTGGTGGTTGCATTACACTGCGAATGCATCAGATGCTCCTGAGCTGTAATGTTTAAAATTATAAAAATGGTATATTTTGTTATGTGAACTTCACCTCAGTTTTGAAAAAAAGCAATGTGAATTAAAAAACATTAAGGGGATTGAATCAGTAGTCAGAAAGCTCCTAGCAAAGAAAAGTCCAGGACAAGTTGCCTTCGCTGGTGAATTTTACCAAACATTTAAAGAAGAATCAATGCCAATATTTCTCAAGCTCTTCCCAAAAATAAAAGAGGAGGGAACACTTGCAAACTGATTTTACAACACCAGCATTACTCTAATACCAAAGCCAGGTAAGGGTGCTACAAAAAAGAAAAACTACAACCAATATCCTGATGAACACAGAAGCACAATCTTAAAATATGAAGAAGCCAAATTTAACAATACATTAAAAGGATCATACACTATGACCAAGGGGAATATTTTTTTCCAGGGATGTAAGGACAGTTCAGCACCTCTAAGTCAATGAACACTACATACCACATTAACAAAGTGAAGGATAAAAACCATATGATCATCTCAAAGATGCAGAACAAGCATCTGGCAAAATTCAACATCCATTTATGACGAAAGCTATCTCATAAGGGGCTGATATCCAAAACACATAGACTCACAACTCAACAGCAAAAAAACCCCAAACAATCCAATTAAAAAACGGGCAGAGGATCTTTTTCCAGAGACAAACAACTGGCAACAGGTACATGAATATTTGCTCAACATCACTAATCGTCAGGGAAATGCAAATCAAAACCACAGTGAGGTATCACCTCACCTGCTGGAATGGCCATCATAAAAAAAGACAAGAAATAGGAAGTGCTGGCGAGAATGTAGTGAAAAGGGAACCCTTGTACACTGTTGGTGAAAATGTAACTTGCAGCCACTATGGAAAGGGAGGTTCCTCAAGAAATTAAAAATAGAATACCAGATGACCCAGAAATTCCACTTTTGGGTAATTATCTAAAGAAAATGAAAACACTAACTTGAAATACTTGCATTCTCATGTTCATTGTAGCACTAATTACAATCATCAGGACCTGGAAACAACCTAAGTGTCCATTGATCGAAGAGTGGATAGAGAAGATGTGGTATGTGTCACACACACACACACACACACTGAGGACCTGAAAACAACCTAAGTGTCCATTGATCGAAGAATGGATAGAGAAGATGTGGTATGTGTCACACACACACACACCCCCGAGTACAAATGCCAGATTGGTGGCTGGGGCGGTCAAAGGCACAAACTTCCAGAAAGTTACAGAATGAGTTAAGTCATGGGGATGTGACGTACATATGGTGACTTTAGTTATTATTATTATCTATAGTTAATAATGCTATACTGCATATTTGAGAGTTGATAAGAGATCTTAAAAGTTATCACTTAAAATCCTCTTAAATTTTTGTGACTGTACAGTGACAGTGGTACTGTGACCATTTCACAATATGTACAAATATTGAGTCATGTACACCCAAGACTGTGTCAGTTATACCTCAGTAAAAATTAAACTCCTTCCCCCATTAATTGGAATTGAGGGGGAAAAAAGAGACAGCACACACTTCCGGAAAAGGGAGTGACTGGGGAGGCCACTTAGCTTTCCCGAGTCTTTCCCCACCATGAGAGCGACTCAAGAGGTGCTGCTTCCAGGCGCCAACTTAGCTAATGAAAACTGAGGGCATGTAGGTTAAAGTCAGAGCCCAGGTTTCTTCTATCTTCTATGGATTCAAAGGCCCATTTGATGAGGTTGCTAAAGTTAAAGGGGTGGTGGTGTAGTAGGAGTATAGATTTCCAGCTTATGAAGAGAAAAACGGCAGATGTGTCTGCTTGCCCTGGCTCCACGGGGGGCCCACACAGTAGTCTGTGCAGGAGCTGATGCCCTGTAGACGCGGCGGAGTGTCCCCCAGTTGGCCGCAGTCTCTACTTCTTCCTATCCCAAAACTCTGCACCCACACTCAGCTCTTGCCCTGCTGTGACTCGAGCCTAACCCTGCTAGGCTCCTGTACTTTTTTAGAGAAGGGCCCGAGTCAGTCACCACCCAGCTTTCTGTTGGCTCCAAATGGCCACCAGGTGGCAGCCAAGGCTCGAGGACTGTCTGGAGGTTGGAGGTGGTGGTGCCTAAAAATGGAGGAGGGGGCTTTCTCTTGCGGCCAGGCCCAGGGCTCCCGGATCCTGTCTTGCTGCCCCAACTCTTGAAGCAGATGTCTGTATCTTTCAGTTCTGACTCCCTTGTCTGAGTCACATGGGCCAAAGGCTCTGGGGGTCCAGGTCCGGATCAGGCATCTCTTCAGCCAAACCTTGGGCCTTTTCTGGCCCTGGGCAGCTTTCTTGTGGTCTTTTTCCTCCCATAGTTCAGTCTCTCTGAAGCATGGTGCCTGGGACCTCGATGCACACGGCACTGAGCTGATCTCACTGGGAGAGCAGGTCATAGCCGCCCCAGAGGGCCATGCATTAGCCCCACCACGTTACTTCTGTGCCTGTTTGTCTTGCTTCCTCAGAAGTCAGCTTTGCATCTTCCCTCCTCTATCCACGGCCATAAACCCACAGGTCCCCAAACCGTGTCCTCTGCCTGACTGTAAAAAACCTACTCTCACCTATTTAGATCCATGGCTGTTTTCTCACTACAGTGACTGAGTTTAGGGGAGGCAGAAACTTTAGCCCACAAAGCCTCTAATATTTACTCTGGCCCTTTACAGAAAATGTCTGCTAGGCTCTGCATCAACCTTTTCTGAAACCACACTGCTTACTCTCCTGACCACTCGAGTTTTCTTTGCTTCTAGGGTCCAGAGGTTCCCTTCCCACCACTCACAGTGGAAAGAGGGGGACTTCATAACCCACTGGCCGGGAGCCTTGGCGGTCTGCCTGCTTGGTGCAGATCCCGAGCAGTGTGTGTCCACAGGCAGTTCAGCTAACTTCTGAGCAGCTGCCTGCTCATGATGGTACCTGCCTTAGAGGACGACTTGAAACAGAACTGGTGTATTTTTCTGCCCCTGGAAGCTACTCTGTGGTTAGGGACTCAGCAGCTGTGACATCCTTGCCCGAGGTCAAAACCTGGGCCTACCCACCTCCCCAGGCTTGGAGTGTCTGTCTGATGCAGTACAGCCTGCCTGCTCTCTGGGGCTGGCACCGCCAGGGCCTTTGTGCGTCCTCTTCCCCCAGCTGAGAACACTGGTTCTCTGGCTAGTCACAGGCTGCTTCCTACCCCACACTTGGCTTTCAAATGTCAACCAAGCTCCCATTCTAGGGCTGCCACCTCTCTCCACTTGGTCACACCGTTTCATTTTCTCCATGCATTTTTCACCGAGGAAAGTGATCTTCTCATTTTGTTAACTTGCTTACACCTCATCTCATCCATGAGATGTGACCAGTGTCTCCTATTCAACTCTGTGACAGCCTCTGGCACGTGCCACGGCCTGCAGATTTGTTCGGAGAGTAAGTGAGCACACACTGGCCTCCTCCGAGCCGTCCTCTCCCCGCAGTCCTGGGTCTCCCCTCTGCCCGGGGCTGGCTGGCCCCACCCGGCTTCCTCACGCCGCAGCGGCATGCCAGTGGACCCCAGCACGCCAGGGTTGGAGCTGCTCCAAAGCAGGCTTCCTGAAACTGGCACCTTGGGGCCCGGTCCATGTTTGCTGTGGGACCGCCTGGGGATCACATGATGTCCAGCAGCGTCTCTGCCCACCGGACACCAGGAGCACCCCTCCATCAACACTGTCATGACAGCCAGAAATGTCTCCACATTGCCAGCCTTCTCCTGGGGTGGGGAGAACTGCCCCCAGCTGCAAACCCCTGCCCTAGGCTGGCTGCTCAGAAACAGCATCCTGTTGGCAGGCACTCCCAGGAGGAAGAATGCTGGGCCAGGAGATGGGGCTCAGGTCCCCACGTCGCCTGTACGACCCTGTCTTTCCTGTCTAGCCTAAGGAGTGACCCCCTGCTCTGCTCCCGGGGTTGCACGGAGGAGCACATATGACAGGGCTGTCACGTTATACCGAGGCTCCTTACCTGAGGCTCGGGTTGAGCTGAGTCTCAGCTGTTAGGTGCACTTTTCTTTTCCTTTAAGCATTAGTGGGGGGAAAAAGCTTAATTGAATCACAAGTTCTCATTATTTAAAGATTACCCACTGTATCACGTGTAGGAGATGTTAGCTGTGTAATTCAACTGGAAACCAATCATTTTATTTGGCTAAAATGATGAGCTTAGTAGTTACTAATTGGCTTGTGAGGAACTATAACGGGACGCCTCACTTGGGAAGTGCTGTTTGAGGCAGGGGCTGGGCTGTCTCAGAGACACCCACCTGCTCTGTAACAGGCCATATGTGCTGCGGCCTGACAGGGCAGCATGGGGGGGCACCAACCTGGCCACGGGACGCCCCGGCTCTCATGAAGCTATGATGGCGTTTAAGTCTGTCTTAAAAAGGCAGGACGTTCTGTCACAGGCTACAACGTGGATGAACTTAAGGACATCATGCCAAGTAAGCGAAACAAGCCAGTCACAAGAGGGCAGATGCTGTGTGGTTCTATTTCTGTGAGGTACCTAGTCAAACTCAGAGACAGAAAGTGGAAGGGTGGCTACCAGGGCCTGGGGGGCAGGGAAGTGGGGAGTTATTGCTTAACAGGCACAGAATTCCAGTTCTGCAAGAAGAAGAGGTTTCTGAGGATGGATGGTGGGTGATGGTCGCACAACAATGTGAATGTATTTAATACCACTGACCCGTGTGCCTAAAAATAGTTAGGATGGTAAGCTCTGTGTTGTATTTTACCACCGTTAAAAAGTCCAAAAAACCAGAACTAAAATTTTGCATTAGGCTTCAGTTCTCTGGGTCTGGGGGCCAGAGAAGTAGGCAACATGGGAAATTGCCCAGCTCCTGGGGGACACTTCTAGCCAGCTGACCAGTGCTCACGGAGACCAAGTCTCGGCACCCAGCAGCCCTCTGAGCATCTTCGTAACACAGGTGTGCTCGTCCCAGGGGCTGCAGAGCCTTGGGCTGGGCATGACCAGCTGGGTCTTCCAGCCGCGTCTGTACCCTCCGCTGTCTGCCTGCAGGCTTTCTAACTGTCCGTCCTCAGCCCTGCCGGAAGTGAGGGATGAAGACTCAGGCAGCAGCTCAGCTGGGAGGGTGGTTCCCCCTCTTATCCAAAGTGTAGTGGATTCCTGTTATTTGAGGTATTTATGTTCTGTAAAGTTGCCCTGAACACTGAATTAGTTTTGCCTCAGGGAAATATGGGGTCGGTTTCCTGTGAGCCCCTGGTCACATGTTTGTTAACTGATCAATTCCGAATCTTATTCTATGTGTGTTTGTTTAAAGACACCTCATTTAACATATTGTTGGTTCACAGACACTGAACTCACAGCCAACAGCACGGTGACTTGTGCCTGGATGAAGGTTATCTAGTCCACGCAGCACACCGCATGCAGCCTTCCTGTGCTTAGGAGCACGGCACGGCACTTGAGTACCATGCCTGGGATCATTTTAATAGCAAAAAAAAAAAGGTACAAAAATGCAAAAATGTGACACTAAATAGCTATGAGGAGCACGCCTGTGTGCAGGAGAGCTGATCAAGAAGCAGAGAGTCGCCCTGCTCAGCAGCTGGGAACGTGCACGCTGGGTCACTCAAAACTGTTTGCTGCTCTGCACCTGCCCGTGAATGACCAAGGGAGTACCTTGAGTACTGACTAGAGGGCTACAAACCGGTCTGAGCTAGAAGGGAATTTGCAAGTTAGTCCCCAATACTGAGGATCGTCTGACCAGCCTATCCTGGTGGCTGGCCCTTCAAGTCACACCGAGCCCAACCGTCCAAGGCACCAGGGTTTCCCGCTAGGTCCCAGGGCATCTCCCAGCAGGCTTCCTGCTCCTGTCCCTTCCAGCCCAATGCAGTGGCAGCTGGAGGGTCCTTTAAAACACAACTCTAATCTTGGCTCTTCTGCTCAGAACCTTCTGGTAGCTTCTTGTCTCAGAGAAAGGGCCCTTCAGCGCCCCGTGAGGCTGGTGTGATGGCCCCAGCCCCGTGTGCACGCTCTCCCCTCTTCCTCTTCACACCACTCAGGACGTCACCAAAGCACCTTCCCTCTGTTGCTGCCCCTCCCCACCAGAATGGGTAGGTCGTGAGGGGGCTTTGCTGTGTCCCCAGCTCCTAGAATGCTGCCTGACACTAGGGATGCATGTCTGTGGAGTTGTTGGAATGAAGGAATGGGATCACCCAGGCGCCATCCTGCCCTCCTGTCCCATTCCGCCCAGCCCGCCACACTTACTCTTCCTGAAGAACTTCTTCTGGCGCCCGGCCAGGCTGAGCTTGGAGTCCCCAACGCCACAGGGGCAGGCCTCGCTGCCCTGCCCGAAGTACCTGGGCACCAGGTTGGACAGGGCTCCGCCCCTGAGCTGCATCGGGGCTTTGCACTTGCGCAGCTGCAGCTTCCCTGTGGCATCCTCCACGCACTGCCACTTCTGCAAGACAGCCGGGACCCCAGGCGCCCAGGCCAGCCCTCTTGTCTGCGTCCCCAAACTGGCCTCTCCCCACCATTCCCTCCCGCTGCCCTCGCTGGGGCATGGCTCACAGCAGTCCATTCTGGAAGAGTGTGTTCAGTGACAGACGGACACACATCTAGTGAGAGAGGAGCACAGAGGAACCATGGTGACACCTAATGGGTGAGTGGGAGCCGCAGTCATGGACAGGCCCCTCTGAGAGAATCATGGGGGACAGGCAATAGTAATGGGCAGGGAAGGGCATTCCTGGAAGGCACAGCATGAGCAAGGTCACGGCAGCCGCACTGAGGGGGCCTGGGTCAGCAGGGCTGCGACTGCATCCTGCCAGCCAGGGGGGTATTTGGGACTGGGATCCTGGGGGCCCTAGAGCCATATTCTGGGGACTATGAATTGACACTGCCCAGCAGCTCCCAAACCCCCGCTCCAGTGTTCTTTGCCTTTGGGTTAAGCAGTGCACTCTGCTAATTGGTTCTGAAGTTGCTGGTATCCCAGGAGCATCTGACCCCCACCTGAGAAGTGTGCTTGTAGTCCCCAGTGCCACAGGAGTGGCGGGGACTTGGGGGGACTGACAACCATCCCGGGGGGACAAAAGCTTCCTGGCCTCTTAGCTTATTCATTCCTTATAGATCAGAACTGAAATTGGAGTCACTTCTGGCATCTTCCCTGGATGTCAGCTCCAGGGTGGCAGGGGTTTCCATGATGGGCATTCAAGGCTGTCACCCCAGTGCCTGGCAGCAGAGGAGCACGTGGAGTGCTGCTGCAACGGAGTGGCGGAGCCCAGAGCTCTTGCTGCCTGGTGGCAAAGAACGGTTTCTTCCCCCACAAGACATCCTCCCTGGCAGGGGCAGGGGCCAGGGATGGGGGGCACACAGCCATGAGGGTGGGCAGTACTGATTCTGGATATGCTGGAGCTGCCCAGATGCAGGTAAGAGAAACCCACCCACCTTGTGCCCTGGCCCTCCCTGCCATGAGCCTATGAAAAGCGGAATAGGAAGGCCCTGCTCTTACTTATTCTTGGTGAAATGGGCACACGTCTCCAGGCCACAGCTCATAGACAGAGGCCAAGAGGCACTGCCTATGCTCCTTGGACTGGGCCAGGCCACTCCGCCCCTTGCTCCTCGGCCCCCTTGCTTGGGGCCGTCTTTATGGGGTCGTGGCCTCTCTCCTCTCAAGTCCACCTTGGCCTTCCAGGCCTCACAAATCAGTCAGTTTCTGCTATCTCTAAATATTACTCAGGTTATAATTTCCTTAATATTTCTCTTGAAATTAATTCACTTTTTAAAAACTTCCTTTATTCAAAAAGGCAACTTCCTATTACACCTGTATATGGAAAGCCAGCCACAAAGAGTGTCTTGTAAAAGTCACCAGCATGAACACAAAGCCACTTAACCTCACAGATGCTATGCGGAGGCCTGCTGTGTGCTTGGCGAAGGAGGATTGGACAAGGGCTACGAGGCGCTCAAGGAGAGCTGTCCTCTGATAGGAGCAGGACTGGAGGGGAGCTGAGAAAGGAATCTCTTTCTGAGAGTCGAGTGGCATGCATCAGCAAAATACCACAGCTCAGGGCCTGGCCTCACCGGCTGCACTGGCCTGAGGGCTGAGGGGCAGGACTGGGTTGCAGCTTAGGGGCACAGCCCCTGGGAGGGGCGGAAGGGGAAGGTGGGTCACCCAGCCCCTGGGCACTGGCCCTTCCTGCTCACCTGTCCCAGCTGCTCACAGGCCGTCTGGTATTCCGCACGCTGACACAGGTCTTTCACGCGCTGGAACTTGGGCAGGAAATTCTCCTCCTGGGCTTCCACCTTGTCACTGTCCCTCTTGTGAAGCAGTTTGCTGTGGGGCAGAGAGTGGGACATGGGGCTGGCCTCTCAGCTCTGGAGGGGCATGTGGCCTGCCCAAGGGGTGGCCCACCCTCGGCCCCAGAACAGTGCTGCCGGGGAGGGTTCAGGTCCAGCTGGCTATGTCATCTGATTGTTAAGAGACTTAAGAAATCGGGATTTTATTAAGAAACCTCCCAAACTGAAGGAGTTGGCAATAAGTTAAAAGCACTGTAAACATGTGCAGGGAGGACATATCATTTCTGAGGGTACATGCAGCCTCCGGGTTGTTAACCACAGAACAACAGCAAATGGGCTTCCCCTCAGCTCACAGAGACTGGATACAAATTCTGTCAGTGCTGGAAGGCCTGATAACAGTATCTTCCCTCCTGCCCTCAACAGTGAGATCTTTACTGGTGCAGGGGGGGCTGCCAGGAGCTTCCTGGATGGGCAGCTGGGGGCGCTTCTGGGCGGGCTGCTTGGCCCGATGACCTGGGGCGGCTCCTCCAGGACCAGCACTCACCCTCTCTCTACCAGGAAGGAGTCGCGCCAGACCCTCATCTTCTTTTTCAAGTGAAACCTGCTTGGAAAAAGCACACTTTCATCTTCTCATCAAGGTGGGGGTGGGGGTGGTCCCCTCATTCTCAGAGAGGCACGCATGGGTCCCAGAGCCAGCTTTGGCTCCCCATCAGCGTGGGGTCTGGGGACTCGGGTCGTTGGGGTGAGTGGGTCTGGCTGGGTACTAGAAAGGCTCTCACACCCGTACCCCTGGGCAGAGTGGCTCTCCCCCAGAGATTCAGGCCTGAAGGAACCCGGGCCAGAATGACCGAGGTCAACGTGCTGTCACATGCAGGCGTGTGTGCTGTCTTAGTGCCTCCAGGAAGTCCAGCAGGTCCCAGCGGGGGAGATCACTTCCTCTCTGTTTCAGCACCAGAACAGTGGCTGTCCTGACTTCAGGTTTATTATATTGGGTTTTGGGGGGATTTTCTTCCTTTGATCCTTTATAGTTGGATCTGGGTAATCTCAGTGTGTATTTCATGCAGTTTCACTCTATTATTTCCACTTCCCAGGTAGGGACTCAGGCTGAGAGAGGAAGCTCCATTCCTGTACCCGACTCCCAGGCATCCTGGTTCCCAATCCAGTGCCCCCGCCCCCCAAAACATGTCCATTTTATACCTTTACAGCTCATAAAACCTCACAATTGGAGGGAGGCAGCTCAACAGAGATGGTCCCCCTGCAGCGCAGCCAGATGTGGGCTGACAGTGCCCACCAGGGCTGGACTAGCTGCAGCAGGTGCAAGCACCTGGGGCTGTTAACCAGGTGCGCAGTTACAGAGCTGGCCACCAGATGTCGCTGCTGCCACACCTGTGGCTGCAACCCTCTCCTTTCCGGTGCCCACCAGACTTCAGCTGCAGGGCTTAGCTCACCTTCCCACCTGTCTATTTTTGCTCACCATCACTGTTGCCTTTTCTGCCTCCAGGACACCTGGCAATATTTTCCCATCACACCATCTGGCATTAAAGCCACAGAGCCTGGCGACACAAGAGTGTAGCCCCCTCTAGCTGAATCCAGACTTGCAGAGTGACCCCCCCAAGTCACTTGACCTCTTTCACATCAATGTCCAAATTGGCAAAGTGGGATAATAATGCCTACCTCAGCGGGTTATTGTGAAGATCAAAATAATAAAGTCCTCTGCAAAGTAATCAGAACAAGGCCGGGTGCTCAGTCAAGTGCTTAACTGGTGTTGACTCCTTATTATTTCAAGTTTTACACAGTTTTAACTCTGAGAGGGTCTTCTCCTGGTCACCTTAGCCATGTTCTAGATGGGAAGATGGAATCTTAGGGAGGGAACATTTCCTCCATGGCAGGTAAGTGGTTGGGACAGGGGATGCTAGAGCTCCAGCTCCTGACTTTTGGAGACCCCCCTTCTCCGCAGACCCACATGGCTTGGCCATGAGTTCATGCAGTTCGGGGAGCTTGGTGCCCCTCACCCCCAGCATCCCCCCTGCTCCCCTGCTCACCGATTCGCCGGCCGCTCTGTGTCCAGCAGCTTGAGGATGGATTTCCCATCCATGTCTGAGGGGATGTCCAGACCCGCGATGTCCAGGATGGTAGGGGCCAGGTCAATATTGAGGACGATATGGGGATTCCTGAGGGAGGCAGGGAGACTAGGACTTGGCCACTGGGTCAGTGGGGCCCAAACTCCCTCAGGAGACGGGGGGATGGAGGCCAGCGGGGGCTGATGCCCCGACTCTCCTTCATCTCAGACCTCGACACGCCCCCGGTGGCCCCCCAACCCCTCACCTTCCGTGCCTCCTTCATACCACAGGATGCTGGGATTAACAGGCCCTGTGGCCTCTACTCAGCTGTTTCTTCTTCCAGGAATGCCCTCGTTGCCCCCCACTCCCTGAACAAAGACATTCACCTTTAAGAGCCCAAATCCTGGACCTTCCTGGGCCCCTCTGCACCTGAGGCAAACACCGACCCGTGTCCTTAGGCCAGGTGTGGCCTCCCTGCATGGCTTTCCCCCTTGCTGCCCCTCTGCCGGGATGCTCCTCCAGACACCAGAGTGACAGTCTCCCTCGCCTGCTATGGCCTTTGCCTAGTGATCACCAAGGAGGCCCATGGCAGCCTCCAGGCGGCTCAGTGACACCCCGTGTGTAATCCTCTCCCCTCCGGGGTGGGCCATGCCAGCGGAGCACGGCCAAGGGGATGGGATGTCACTCCACAGTCATGTTACATGATTTATGACTCTGTCTTGCTAGCCACTCTTCCTCGTCGGCTCTGAAGAAGCTGTAGGTCCCCCTCCAGAAAGGACACATGGGGAACGCCCTGGGACGCAGGCTGTGTGAGCTCGAGTCCTCTGCGTGTACCTGAAACAACCCCATGGGTGAGGCAGCAGGTCCTTCCCAGAGGAGCCTCCAGATGAGGCAGCAGCGCGGGCTGACATCTTCACTCCAGCCTAAGGGAAGGACCAAGCTAAGCCAGGCCCAGACTTCTGACCCACGGAAACTGTGAGATGATACATGCGTTGTTTTCAGTTGCTGGGTTTGTAATAATTCGTTATGCAGCATGGAGACTGATACAAGGCCATTCCTAGGACCCCACCTAGAGCCACACCCCTGCCTGCCTGGGTTCCTATACCACCTACATTATCTCGCTCCTGAGTCCTTATTGCCTTCCATTCGCTATATATTTTACTCATTTATCTGGTTGATGGTCTGTTGCTTAATTAGAATCAAATTGGAAGGAAGACTCTGTCTGTCTTGCTCACTTCTGTATCGCTAGCACCTTTACACTTAGAACACCGTAAGTGCTCAGTAAGTATTAGCTAAGTGAATTTTGTTGCTTAGCTCCACCATACATTTATCACTTCTCCTGTCTCTGCTTTCCATCCAGGGGTGTTCCTCACACAGTGACCTTAGGGATGTGCCCAGTACAGGGCCTGGCACCTGTCTAATGAATGATGGCTGCACGAATACACTCACCCCAAGGTGGATTAGTGCCCTGGAGCTGGAGCTGAGGGGCAGGGCCTGTATCCTAGGGTTTCAGTTGTCTCTGACCCCCTCCCTCTCTCCAGCCCAGTACCTTGTGAGCACTGGACAGGTAGCCTTGCACGATGGGATGGCCGTGCAGGGGGTGAGGCTGGAGAGGGCGGGGGAAGCTGTACTGTGGAGTCACTTGGAGGTCAGCATAAACTGGGATAACTTAATCTGGCAGGTGCAGGGAGCTAGCGAAGACTGCTGGGTGAGTAGGCGCTATGCTGAATGTCGGCAACCAGCACCTAGGTTGACCTGAGGTGACTCAGCAGTCCTGCTCCCCTAGGCAGGGTGGGCTGGACAGGACTGTATTCCCAGCCCACGTCCACGCCTTGCTCAGTAGCAACAGTCCCCAGCCCCATTCAGATTCCAGCACCTGATGGGCTCAGCCTGATCACTCCAGGTTTTCCATCACCCTGGCTACAGTGATTGGTTTAGGGATAGACATACGACCCAAGTCAGGCCAGTGAGTCAGCCTTAGGGCCTCTGTTCACACCACTGCTTGATTTTTTAAGCCGGCAGGGTGGAAGTGAGGGTGACTCTGCCATTATGAGAGAAAAGCCTGTCTGAGAATGAAGCTGATTCAGAGCAAGCAGGGCTGCGAGATGGAAAATGAGAACTTCCTGATGTCATGATGTGACTGCTGGATCCCGCCATGCCTGAAGCACTAGTTTTGGACTTTCCAGTTACTTTAGTTACTGCATTCCTTTTGTCTTCTTTTGTCTTATCTGGTCTGAAGGTGATTTCTGCTTTCAATCAAAGGACTCATGGCTGACAGATACTCTGTGTGGCTTTAGCACCAAGCCTGATGTTAGCATTTTCTTTCTCTTGTCCCCATGGGGTATGGTTCTGGGTCCAATGAATCAGGTCACAGACTCAGAGTCCTGAGTCGGGTAAATGCTTTCTATTCGTAGGGGTGGTTCAAGGGTTGAGAGAGGCAGCGCGGATGGTGGACAGGAACAGATTGCCTGGCTTCTAGTTCTGGCTTACATGCCATGTGACCTCAGACAGCCTCTCTGTGCCTAGGTTTCTGTAGGTATGCGACAAGGATAAGAGCGGTGTCTACCTGCAGGGTCGTTGTGACGCTTCCATGAACTACATGGTGTAAAGGGCTCAGACCTGGGCGGGCAGAGGGAGCTGGGCAGCCACGTTACAGCTCTCAGCTCAAGGGGGCCCCCAGATCCAAAGATGGGGCCATCTGATGAGCTTGGCACACAGTGATGATACCACGCTTGGACTCACACAACCTGCCTCCAGAACTGCCACCTAGGGCCTGAGGTGGTGGGACAGCTCAGTCCTCCCACAGTGCCACCAGCGCCCTTTCAGGAGGAACTGGGCAGCAGACCGAGCCCGTGCCAGTGGGCCCTGCAGCTGTCTGGGCTCCGGGCTGGGTGGAGTCAGACCAAGCAAGCGCCTCACCAGGAATTTATCTGGACTTCAAGAAACCACTGGAGTCGGTCTCTGTAACATCACAGCTGCTCTGGGGAAGCCACTGCTACTACGATGCCCAGCCTTCCTACCTGCTCCCGGCCCAGACTCAGCGTTTTTGCAGCCAGATTGTCATTGGAGAGGCCAGCCCGTCGAATATGCTGTCTGAGGGCCCACATGGAGCTCAGGGAAGGATGGGAGGGGAGGCTGTTCCCCTTTGTGCTGTGGCTGAGCAGCTGATCTCAGCCGACAGCCCGGGCCGAGGTAACAGGTTCCTCCCTGAATCCACCAGGCCCAACGGCTGCCACATGCAGCCCAACTCCCTGATTCCCTGGCACTCTGCCCCACCACAGACAATCTGATTTCACAGGTGCTAACAGCTCCTGGTCCCCCTTCCCCAACAGAGGGGTGTACCCTGCATCACAACCCACCCTCCGAGACAGTGACTGCTCCACTTGGCACGGAGGTTCACCTGCCCAAACCATGTGCCGCCCAGAGAATGGCTCGGGGCTGCATGATTGAGCCACCTGCTTCTTTCCATCCAGGTGCTAGCAGAGCCTGGAAGCCTCCCTAGGAACATGGGGCCCCAGGGGTGACGCACTTACAGCGAGCCAGCCTCCACGTTGGGGCCCCTCACGTAGAATGGGACCCTGATGTCGAACTCGTATGGCATGGACTTCCCCTTCACCAGGCCGAACTGGCCGATATGGTAGCCATGGTCGGCCGTGTACACGATGTAGGTGTTGTCCAACTCACCCGTCTCCACCAGCATGTTGTAAATCTGAAACGCAGGCAGGGTGGTGAGGGGACTAGCTCCATGCAGCCCGGCTCTCCCCAGGGTGACGGGGCATGTGAGGTCTCTGGCCCCGTCTTCCTGGGCGGGCCCCAGGCAGCCTCCCCCGTCATGGCAGCCTCCCCGCCTCCCGTTACTCCTGTCCTCTTCACTGTCTGCCTCCCTGTTAGAAGTTCCCTTGGGGCAGGGGCTTTTGTCATGTTGTTCTCTGCTGTCCCCCATGGGCACTCTGCACGGGCACTCAAGATGCTGTTGCATGAAGGAAGGAAGCTGCAGCACAGCCTGTGGCAGGGTTTGTGACCCACCGCAGCGCTGCCCAACGGGACATTTTGGGCTGCCCAATCTGCTGGCCACCAGTCCCGGGCGGCCACGGAACACTGAATGTGGCTGGTGCCACGGAGGAAGTGAACTTTAAAGTGTGTTGTATTGTAATTACATTTACTAGCTGTGGATAAGATGTGTGTATATCGCCCTCAGTGGGGTGTTACTCGAGGAGTGCAGCTCTGACTCGTGCTGCCACGTGGGTGACCTGAGAGCTGGATGCTGAGGGGAGGGGGGTGGGCGCAGACCACGCCACGTGTGATCCCGTTTATGTGAAGCCTCCAGAGGAGGTGCATCCATAGAGACGCTCAGCAGATCAGGGGCTGCCTGGGGATGAAGGGCGGGGGCTTTGGGGTGATGGAAATGTTTTCAAGGCAACTGGGGTGATGACTGTACAACTCTGCAAATGTATTGAAACCACTGCACTGTCTGTGTCGGCTGGGGAAATGAATGGTATGTGAATTCTCTCTCAATAAAGCTGCTAAAGAAATGTCAGTAGCCACATGCAGCTACCAGGTTGGACAGAACAGACCCAGAATGTTAATGTTCACGAAGGCACTGGGTTGTGGGTTGCTCCAAGCCTTGTAACCCAAGTCAGGACTGTGCTTTTCAGCCTGTTGCCATTCCTGTCTGGTGGATGACACTTGGGACACTGGAGGGCCAGGTGGCTTCAGGCCGGGCCTGCTGCAGGGCGCGGGAGGGCACCCGGGACGAGAGCAGGCACAGAGGGGCAGAAGGTGGCCTACCTTCTGCATGGAGTCGTCCACGGACATGAGGGTTTGCAGGCGTTTCCTCTGCAGCATGTTGGTGAATTCCATGTGGATGGGCTTCATGGGCCCTGTGTAGCGCATGATCCAGTGCTTGTCGGGGTTGGGTGCGTAGTTATAGCTCGGCGTGCTGGCGGGCAAACACAGCCAGAGGTCAGGCTGGCGGTGCCTGGGCCCAGGCCCCAGCCTGCCCGCACCCTGGACAAGCAGCTGCCTGGCACTGGGTCTGTGGCCTGGGTGAAACCTCCCCCACCTGGGTAAGGTGGGCATGGGGCTCTGCAAACCCTCAGGCCAGCATTTCTCCAGGTGTGGGGCATGGCCACGGCACAACTGTGGGAGGGACAGTGCCAAACAACCCGGAGCCACAGAGTGGAGCAGGCCAGCCCCTCCCATTTCAGCTGTCAGCCCGCCCACTCCAGCGCAGCCCAGCCTCAGTCTGGTGGAGTCTTTTAACACCTCACTTGACTTTGCTCATCTCCCTTTTAAAAGGAGGGGAGAGGCTCACGTTTAGAGCCTGCAGCAGGCATAGTACCTGACTGATTTAATAGCCCGGCATTCATTTTCCAGTTACCCTGGGTGGATGGCAAGTGACAGTTGTTGTGATTAAGGCACGACTACAGAATTTCCTCTCGCAATAGATTTTGGTTAGGGAAAAAAAAAAGAAAATTGATGAGAAAAACTAGGTAAATAATCGTCACGCACATATGGTCAAAATTGTGAGGATGGCACCTGAGTACATTTGGGACACGCCACATTCTTTGATTTGTCACAGTTATTCTTCCTGTTTGCTTTAGTCTCCCATTTACTAAAGAGGACACAGGGTCAGAGAGGCTCAGGGCCCTGTACGCAGTCTCCCTGAGAGGGTGCGGGAGCCTTGGGCCTCTGTGACTTCTGGTGTGGGGTCAGTGATGATGCCTGATGATGACCAAACGCATCAGTGATGACCTCTGACTTCTGCTGAGCACCGACCGTGTGCAGGCACAGCTCAAGGGCTTCGCCTTCTACCGTCTCATTTAACACAGCCGCCCGAGGAGCCGGCGCTACTTTTATTCTCCTTTGAAGAAATGAAATGAGAAAACTGAGGCCAACGAGGGGACTGACTGGCCCAAGGCAGAACCGGGGTTTGAACTCCGGGGCAGATATGGTTGCCCCCTGCCCTATTTTCATAAATGCCTGTCACGACCCTCCCATCCATAAACGCTCCAGCAAAACTTGGGTCAGGACACTCTTGCCGGAGAATTAAGCAGCAAAAACACATGTTAAGTCAGTTCAAGGCCTCAGAAGCTTCCAGATAATTCCAGTAATACATCACTCTGCCCCAAACCAAGAGCACCTCCGGTCACCTCGGCTCAGGCCGGCCCCAGGGTCTGAGCTACAGCAAACCCCTGCGGTGTGGGAGCACTGGGGTGGGACACGGCGCTGATCAGTGCCATCTGAACCCCCACAAAACGTGGGTATGCTCCCACCGGGGCTGGTTTCCTCAGATCTTACCCCTCCCCAGTCAGAGCTGGAAATAAAGGTTTCCTCGGCCTGAAGACAAAAGGCCTTTCCAAAATGGCTGAGGGGTGACGGGCGCAGGGTGCAAGGGGAGGGAGAACGGGCCTTGCAGAGAACCCCCTTCCTTTGCCGGCCATGTCGGGGACCTTCACAGCCTCCTGAGCGTGAGAATGTGGGAGGGGTGGGAGTGATGGCACGGGGGCTTTGCAGCCTGCGGGGGCCGGGTATGGAGACCGCTGCCATGGAGATGGCAGGTGAGTCACAAACCCGGGGATTTCTTCTGTACTTTGCTCCTGGCAGGTCTCCTGCTGCTAAATCCAACCGGGCCCATGTCCTCCTTTGATTACAGGGAACGAGCATCCCTGGGGCTGGCTTAGGGCCTGACCTGTGTGTATAACACTCCCAGGAACAAGCCTGACTCCCCTCCCGACCTCCCCTGCCCGGGATCTGGAAGATGCTCGCAAAGGGACGTCCTCTGCACCGCTTGGGGGTGTGGGAAAATTGGGCCCTCCCACAGGCCCAAGGGCCTGGGTTCCAGGATGCAATTTTGAGCAATCATCCCTGAATCTATTAGACTCCAATAGGCTGGTGTCTGCCCTTGAGGACAGCAAGGGGTGGGTCTGTCCGGAGTCTGTGGGATGATTTTGGAAGCCCTTTCTCTGAGAGACCTCTTCTGCTGGCCAGAGGCTCTGGAGGCCAGGGCCTGCCTGGGGCCAAAGTCCGTTTGCTGGTCGCCTGTGTGAGGCCAGCCTCCTCCGGTGGGCATGGGGGGGGCGGTTACATTTTCACATGAACCCAGCTGCCTGCGGAACAAAGAGCTGAAACTGTCACCTCCTCAAGAATCCCAGGAATGTCTGGTGTGTTCACGACAGGGCCTGGAAGAGAACACCCCCGCCCTTGTGCTGGGGGGCGGTGGGAGGAGGGCAGCCCTCCCCAGCCCCTCATGCTGTGCGTCTGCGGGGGATGGGGGTGGGGGCTGGCAGGAGCCCTGACACCTCCTGCCCCGAGGCTGCCACCACAGGCCAGGCCCCTGTGGGTCAGAAAGGGGGAGGCCGTGAGCCCACAGGAAGATGCCACACCTCAGAGGAAGCTCTGGGGGCTGGTGGGCGGTTTGTGTCTTTGTGGGTCTGTGTGTGCGTATCTCTGTGTATATTTGTGTATCTGTATGTGTCTGTGTACGTCTGTGTCGTTGTGTCTATTTGTATGTCTGCATGTTTGTTTCTGTGTATGTCTGTATATATGTGTGGTGGGTATGTATGTGTGTGTGTCTATATCTTAAGTGTGTCTGTGTATGTGGTACATGTGTGTGCATTTGTGTATGTGGTACATGTGTGTGCATTTGTGTATCTGTGCACACGTATCTGTATATATGTTTAGGCTTGTATCTGTGTGTCTATGTATCTATTTATATCTTTGTGTGTTTGAGTACCTGTATGTGTGTGTGGGTGTTTGTGTATGTGTGTGGCTGCGCATCTGTGGCTGTATTTCCTTGTGTCTGTACCTATGTGTCTGGGTGTGTGAGTATGGAGTGGGGTTGGGTGGATGGGCCCTGGGTGGTGGAATGGGACCACACAGCATCACGCAGCGTGTGTCAGAAGCCAGAAGGCCCACCCCGAGAACAGGGTACAAGGTGTGACAGAGTGAGCGTCTCTGACAGAAGCCTCCTTATAGAAAGATCTGGAACTCCGACCCAACAGGCAAGGCTCTGTCTCCTCCTCACTCCCCCCTCGACTGTCATAATTAAACATCCCAGCTGCAGAACTTTCTGGCTTTTAGTTTTGTTTTGGAAATGATTATACCCCAGAGATAAGAGAGCCTTCCAAACACATCCCTAATAAGGCAGGGGGTTCTCAGTAAGTAATAGCAGGCGTTGCTCATGTTCAATTTCTGTAATTTTCATTTCAAAGGGAAAATAAACGAGCAGGCAATGTCAGACGGTCTCATCTGATGGGGCTGCCGAGGGTGGGGGCTGCGGACACCAGCACCTCTTTCACCGGAGAAGCCACAGAAGCGAATCGCGCCTTCCCCCACCCCATGGCTTCTCCCTTGGGTGGGACTGAGCTGGCCGTGCGGCTCCTCCTGCGAAGGTGAACTGTCAGTGGGGTTGGGGGCCGGGGGAGCGGGGACCCCAGGCAGGAGGGCGCTGGGGTGAGGGGCAGGCAAGCCTGATGAGCAGAGAGGAATGCTGGGGTGGGGGTTGAGCCCCTGGAATGCGGCCCATCCTCTCCAGTCATATCCTCTTCCCTAGACTGGGGAGCAGGAGGTTACCACAGGGCACTGAGCCACTTTGGGCACCGCAGAACATAATTACCACCAGGGGGCTGGGAGGGCAAGGTTTCTGATTGCAATGAAAATAAACACCCGGAATATTCAGGTGGATTCCAAATGGCCCTGTCCTTGTCCAATGTCACAGTAAAGGCCTCTGAGTGTCACTGCTAAGTGGGAGATGGTGTGAGGCAGAGGAAAGCAGGGAACTTTCCAGAAAGATTTACCAGCCGGCCGGAGGGAGGAGCAGGGGAGGGCTGGGCTGGGCAGAGAGATGATGGAGGTGAGTCAGGGTGGGATTTGAGTCCTGGCTCTGCCATTTCCCAGCTGGGCACTCTTAGGGAAGTAACCTCACCTCCCTGTGCCTCAGTTTCTTCATCTGTAAAATGGGAATACCAAGTGCGACAGGCAGCCTTCAAGGTAGCCCTGGATGGCCCCCACTTCCTGGTATTACCACACGTTGTCGCCTCTCCCACGCTCCAGCAGTGCTGGTCTCTGTGACCAGTAAAGCATGGCAGTGACGGTGCTTCACTTCGGGGTAAGGCTATAAAAGACTCCAGCTTCTTTCTCAGCTTCTCTCTGTTTCCCCCTTTCCCAATCTCTCTCTGCCTCAGATCATTTGCTCTGGAGGAAGCCAGCTACCACGTGGTGAGGATGCTCAAACAGCCCTCCAGAGAGCTGGCTGGTGGAGGGGCAGCCTGTGACTGGGCCTCACGCAAGCCTCAAGTGGCCGCGGCCCCAGCTGATGCCTCGAATATAACCTCAGGAGACAGAGCTAGAACCTCCCAGACAGGCCACTCCCAGATTCCTGACACACAGACACTATGAGATGATACATGTTCATGTTAAGGTGCAAAATTTTGGGGTAATTTGTTATGCAGCAATAGATAACTAATACTTCAAGGGTCATCGTGAATATTCAGGGATTGAGTGCAACGTAAAGGGCTCAGCATAGAGCCTGCCACATAGTCAATAGCTCAATAAAGGCTGGCAAATGTATTAGTAGCCTGATGAAGCTATCGACCCCTTTTCAAAAGAATGTTTTAAAATGTATGAAGTAAAATGTGTAGGATGACCAAGGAAATTTCTTATACTAAAATGAAGTTCTAGCCACAGACCTCTTGGTGGGAGGCTGTGGGTCCCAAGTTAGTAACTCTTACTATCTACTTTGGTCTTATACTTTTGAGTGCTTACGGGATGCCAGGAACTATTATGTGTTTCCTTACATTAGGTCATTTAATTCTTACACAGCCATACAGAAAGTAGTGTGATAATAAAGGCTCAGACAAGTTAAGTGGATTGAATACTTTTGACCATTAAGTTTTAGGAACAATATCACATAGCTGTTAAGTGTTACAGTCAGGCCTCCTGAGTCTTGTTGGTTCCTAGGCCTGAAGTTATTTCAAGGCTCCAGGGAATACCAATGAGTAGGGTGGGTACATCCCTCCATTTCTGGGGTGCCTCTGTTGGGGGCAGGAGCAGACAAACATGTAAACAAAGAACCAAGATACTGACAAGGTGTGACAGATGAAAGAAATACGATATGACAAAAAGTAACTGGGAACTGGGGTGGGGAGTGTACTTTAGTTGGGGCAGTCAAGAAGGGCCTCTCTAAGGAGGTGACATTTGTACTAGACCTGGGTGATGAGAAGGAGCTGGGCATGGGAAGATCTGTATCACTGGGGTTCACCCTCAGCTGCCTGCTGGGATCCTCAGGGTAACTTTACTGCTGTGTGGGCCCACTTCCAGACATCCAGGTTTAAGTGGTCTCTGGTTCACCCGGGCACCAGACTTTTCGAAAGTTCCTCAGGGGGTTCCAATGTGCTGCTGGGATTGAGAAGCACAGATCTAGAAGAAGAGTTTCAGGCCAAGGAAGAGCAAATGGGGGGACTCTGGGGCAGGAATGAGTGTGCCATGTGTCTGAAGAATGTCAGCAGGTACAATGCCTGAGGGAGTGGCACAAGCAAAGGCACACATAGTGTCTCCAGTTAAGTGAGAACCATGTGGATATTGAGCAGGAGGATAGAAGAGCTGGAGGAAAAATAAAGGGCAGAAATTGAGGGCTTTAAAAGCTCAGCATAGAGGTTGAACTCAGCCTAAACATCTTGAACTTGGTAAATCTTTTGTCTCTTCTGAAGGTAATGAATTCTTGAAATTTACTCTCTGCTTCCTTGGAAGCAGCTCTGTCTAAAATGATTGCTTTCAAAAAGAGATAACCATTTTAGAGAAAAAAAAAATGGGTGAGGAAGTGGCTACCGCTTCCACCCTGATGTGAACTGTGTGGCATTATGCATACTACTGGTGTACCTATGCATGTACATACACACCTTCAGGGATACCCATACATTGTGCCTATGCACAAGGATGGTTGTCTCAGGAGTGCTGATAAAGCAAAAACACATCAGAGTGATTAGCAATTGGAAGATGACTAATGAACTTACATTGCTTTTATACTATGCAGACACTACAAGGGCAGATCTGTAGTTAACTGGGGTGGAAAGTTGTTCAACATACATTTCCTTGGGTACTTTTTACCACTAAGTTTTAGGAATAAGGGAAGATTTTTATAATATAAAAGTATTATGTATTACATAAATTGAAGAGCTGCTGCTATACTTGGGGAACATGACCTGAGGATGTTAGGAAAGTTCTGTTACTAGCAGTGGATCTAAAAATGGTGCAAAGCTCCCCTGAGTACAAAGGAGGGGTTGGGACCCTGACAGGAAATCAAGTCAGTGCCTTCAGGGGATGGCGCAAGAAGAGGCCGTGAGACCGTCGGGGGGACGAGCAGCTGACTTGCTGTCTCCAGCCCGTGGGGCGAGCTGGGAAGAGGGTTACTGCTCTTCACAATAGACCCAGCTTCACCATTTAATTTTAGAACTATATATATGTCCATTTGGCTGTGATTAAATGTGTTTTGTTTTTAAAGCCACTATTAACATTCATTCCCAGGACATACAGTATGACGATACAGCAATGACCAAGAATAAACTACGTGGATCAATGTGGATCAATCTTACAGGCCTGAAACTGGGTGAGAAAACCAGGTGTAGAAGGCTATGTAGGATCCAGTACCAGCTATATCAAGTCTAAAAGCACACAAGACAATGGTATATATTATTTGAGATATCAGCAAAGGGAATAAAATAAAGGCATGTGTGGGCATAATAAGCACCAAACTCAGGACACTAGTTACTTGTCTGGGAGGGGTCAGGCTGGGGCAGGGCGGGACCAGGGGAGGGCACATGTGCACTGCAGGGGCTCCTAAAGTCTCTGTGCTGGGGCGTGTTCGGAAGCGTGTGGGGGGTGGTTACCGTGTCTGCCTCTCAAGGGGTTTCCAGCCCCAGAAGACGTAAGGCTCTTGACAGCACGCTGAGGGCAGCTAGCTCTGACAAGTCAGCTGCTACTATGTCTAGCTCGGTGGCACGGCAGATTTCCTGCATGACTGAGAGCCATCCACCATTCCAAGTCCTCCTCAAAGCCACTCCTAGGCTACTGGCTGCACTGGGCCCCCGGCACTGATGTCTGACACTTGCACCTGCACCCCACCCCCATCTATCCACGTGGATTGGAGGACGCAACACCATCCTTCAGCAGTGGGCCTGCGGCTAGCCAATAAGAACACGCCATCCCTCTCTCTGGCCACTTGAATACTTTGGTCAAGTCCAGGTGTCAGAGTGAAGGACAAGGGGCCTGGGCGAGGGTGGCGGTGGCACTATCCAGTGATGGCTGGGGGCAGACTCAATAGATGATCTATGTGCACTGGCTAGATATGGTATATGTAAGAGGGGACAGTTAGGCCCCCTACCATGATTTTTGGTTTGGGAGGAGGGCAGAGAGAATGTCAGGCGAGGGTGCAAACCTGAGCTCAGCTCTGCACAAACTGAGCTGGGTGCCTGGTGCCATGAGGAAGGAGTTAGATTCAGAGTTGTTAATGGGAGCAGTGAGACAGGTGGGAGGAGCATGAGGAGCGCCCTTCTCTGTCCCCTTCATCCCCAGGCCAGGCCCCCTGGCCTCTCCTAGGTGACACGGGCACCCCTAGGAACTCGGGAGCCAGGGCTCCCCTGGCGTGCCCCCGGCCACGACTGCAGTGCCTGGAGATACCGGGGCTCTGGGGATGGCCCAGAGCTTAGCAGCCAGAGCTGGGAGAGACCCGGATCCTGACCTCCACTGACTGACTCTGACCAGTGAGCCAGCAGGAACCGCAGGGCATCAGAGGAGTCCAGCGGCCTGTGGCTCTGGGCAGAAGCATCTGGTTCCCTCAGCTAGGCTTTCAGCAGGGGGCTTTCTCAGGATGGAGGTGGGGGGCAGGGTATGCTCTGGGGGCTGGGGGCTCAGCGACTGGCTGGCACTTGTCTTCCTGCCCCACTTCTCAGGCATGTGGCCACCGTTTCCTCCTGGGTGCCTGTTCGTAGGGTGCTGGGCTCCCTGAGGGTTGGGGCTGCAGGTCCCTGTCCCCGTGGCACTCCCAGTCCTGTGGAGGGCCCCGAAGAGCAGTCCTATTAGAGAGGTGAGGAGGAGGGGTGGGCAGGTGTTCCCTCACCGAGGACCCCTCTGGGTGCTGGGGGCGTGGACAGAGACTGTCAGGACAGGCATCGGCGCACAGTGAGGCTGACGTGGCGGGAAGCTTTTCTTCCTGCTCAGAGCCATGTTGTGGGAAAAACCTGTGCACAGGTGTCTCCTGGGAGCTGCTCACACTTTTGCCCCATGGAAGCCTGTGTTTCTGCCTTGTGTTTGAACGTGGGCGAGACAAGCCAGTACACTCCGCATGTCCAGGGCCTCTCCCCAGACTGGAGCCTAGTGGCTCCCTGGACCTGGTAAATTTTTGGTGTGGAAAGCCCGGCGTGAGCACCACAGGGCTGCTGGCTTTGCTCCCTGACACCTGGTGTGAAGGGTGGGGGGCAGGGAAGGAAACTCCTCTGCCCCAGGGGTAGCCACCAAGATAACCTTATGGTTTTTTCTTCAGTTGGCAAGCCTACTATCAGCAACAGAGGGTCTCCTTTCCTGAGCCACTGGCCCCCTCCCAGAGATCTGTGTAGCTTTCACTCCAAGTCAGGATGCTGACGTCTTGCCCGCAGGGCTTCCACAGCAGTTTGTGTTCCAGAAAGTCACATCCCTTTAAAGGGCAATCATATTTCATGAAGCGGAGGGCTTTGGAGTCAGACATCCCTGGGTCCACATCCCAGCTCTGTCACCTGTTAGCTGAGGGTGAACCACTCATCTTTCTGCAGCTTGGCTGATGCATCTAAAAAATGGGCATGTAACAGTCCCTTCTTCAGATGGCGATGTGAGCATTTGGCAAAGAATTGCTACGTGCAGAAAGCACTTATTAGCAAATAGCCTGGCACCAGTGAACACTGGCTCTTATGGTGCTCATACATTGGTTCAGTTGACCTTCACAGCAACTTTGGGAGGTGGGCTTCATGCCCATTTTACAAATGGGTAAACTGGGGTCACAAAGCTAAAAGCAATGCAACCCACAGCTAGTGCTCAGGCCTTCGTCTTTTCTGTCTGCTCCGTTTTTTTCATACAAACAGAATTATTAATGAGAGGAGTACACGGTGGTTTGCAGCAGGCGTGCACAAACCTTTCTTCCTCCCACACCTGGAGTTCTGCACTGGCTCCTCCACTCAGCCTGAGCCTTTCTGATGACTTTACCCACAGATTCCCTTGGCTTTTTCCAGAATCCTCCAGGGTAGGGATGCTTCATGGTCATTTAGTCATTTCCTGTATCAGTGGCATTTTCTTTGTTGACTTTTTTCAAGAAAAACAGATAGCTGCGACCTCCAGTCCAGCGCTGCCCGCTTCTGCCCACGAGGGGGGGCTTCTCCAGGACAGAGAGCGCAAAGGCTGCGCTGAAGGGCGCGCGCGCGCGGGTTCCCAGAGTGCCATTTCCTCAGAGCTCCCCCAGGACCTGGGCTGCCCTGCTCCCCCACCAGAACTCCTGTCAGCCTTCTGCTACCTGTCTTGCCTTCTCCAACCTTCTTCGGCCATTAGCGCTTGCCAGCAACACCCTTTTCTCTTCACTGCTGCCTCTTCCCACCCTGCCATCAGGACCCCTCTCATGCTGTCTGCCCACCTTAGGGGTCTGTGACACAGGACAGGGTCCTCACAGGGCCTTCGGAGGGGAGCTTGCGAAGAGCAACAGCCTCCTCCCCACCTGGGCTCCCCGCCAAGGCCAGAGGCCAGCAATGGCGCTCTGCCCTGGCGGGGGCATCTCATCTCCCAGACTGTGGGGCCCAGGCACGGGCTCCCGGCTCTGCCTGGGCTGGAAGCTCTGAGCTCCTTCCTGCCCCTTTCCAGGGCTCCAGCTCCCACCACCTGCTGTTACCCTCAGGATTTGAACCTTGGGCCTGAGCCAGCTCTGACCCCAAACAGATGGTCCCACCCTATTCCGAGGCCTCTGCTTTCCATCTCTGTCACCAAAGCCCTCTCACTCACAGGGGGAGATGTGTGTGCAGCAGGAAATGGGGCAAAATAGCAGCCATTGTGTGTCCCCATCCTCAGCCCCGAGGGCTCTGAGCGACCCTGGATAACTTGATCACAGCGCTGCTTGGTGACCAGGCGTGGACATGTGAGGAATTTTAACAAGGAGGGAGTGAATTTTTCTAGGTATTGGAGAATCTGCCTGCGCTCAGGCTGGGAGGAGAGAAATGGAATGTTCAGCCCCAAGAAACTTTATAATTCCAAGGAGTCCAGCAGGGTCACTAAGTTCCCACACCAGGACTATGGAACTAATTCACCTGGGAGGTAATGGCGGCCAATCCGGTGCGGAGTGAGACATGGGCTGGGAGCAGAGGGTGCTTCCGAGGTGTCGTCATGTGGTTTCTGCCACCTGGGCCCTGAACTGATCAGACCCAGTAAGGGGACACATCAGTGTGGTTTACCTGTCAAAGGTAGGAGGGATTCCCAAATGTGCTGGTGTTTCCAGAGGGGGAGTGGGAAAGGGCCTGAAAGCTATTGAGCTTTCTTAGGCTAGTCAGCTTTCTTCAAGCAGAAACTGTCCATTTTTATCTGGGCCTGTATTCTTAGCACATACTGACCGGTCTGGCTCTAGGGTAAGGCTCCAACTTTCCCCACCTCCGGCTCAGGAGTGGTGGGCAGGTGGCTGAGAGGATGGAGGATGCCATATTGCTGGGTGGTGGGGAGGACAGGGAGGGAGGGATCTGAGAGAGAGAGAGAGAGAGACAGACAGACAGACAGACAGACAGACAATCTGTGAATGGGGCCAAGAAGAAAACAGAAGAAAGAAAAATCATTGCCTGAAGATTTTATTTGAGCCCCTGGATCCACCCATGTCTGATGCCATTAATGCTGGGTCATTTAAATAAACCACTAAGGTTCCTCTTCAACAAACAACTGAAAAGTTGAGTTTTACAAAGAATGAGAGGCTAGTCTGATTCAAGAAATGATAAATCCTGGGGTACTTGGGAAGCCTTCATGGAAGAAAAAATGGATATGACTTGGGTAAATTCAGGGCAGGCAAGTGCTAGGAAACATTTTGAGATGGTTGTAATAATGGACAAAGCTAGTCTGGCTGAAATGGCTCATACTGGGGATGACATAATAGGAGACAGGGCTGATGTGTGTACACGTGCACACCCACACACCCACAGGGCTGGTGGCAGTGGTAGTAGGGAAGAGAGAGGGATGGATTTGACAGTCTGGATAAAGAATGTATCAGCTGTGGGGGTGGGGGTGGGGGTGGGAATGTTAGAGCTGACTTTGAAGATTTAGTTGGGTCTGGAATATTTGCTAATCTCCAGATAATACATCTTTTTAATGGAAAGTTTGGATGAAACATCACTTTCAGTCTTTTATTCTTATCGTCATCACCATCAACATCATTACCTAAGCCAGGAGTCAGCAAACTATAGCCTGTGGGCCAAATGAGGCCCACTGCCTGTTTCTGTAAATAAAATTTTATTGGAACACGGCCATGTTTATTCATTTACATATTATCTATGGCTGCTCTGCACTACAATGGCAGACTTGAGTAGTTGTAACAGAAACTGTATGGCTTATAATGCCTAAAATATTATACAGCTCTTTACAGAGAATTGTGCTGTCCTGATCTGAACTAATATGTACCGAGTATTTACTATGCGCCAGGGGCTCTTCTAATGCTCCATATACTCATGTCACCTCAAAAACCTTTGTGGTAAAACCACAATAAAATACCACTACACCCCAGCAAAATGGCTATAATGAAAAAGATAATACCAGTGTTGATGAGGAATTTGGAGCCACTGGAACCCTTATACATTTCTTCTGCTGGCCCTGTCAACTAGCTCAACCATGTTCCATATCATAGGTCCCAGCAACTCTGCTCCAGGTGTAAAACCAAAAGAAATGGGTACATGTGTCTACCCACAACCATGTGTAAGGATGTTCACCGTTTTAATTCATAATAGACCCAAACTAGAGACAACTAAAAAATCTGTCAGCCATTGAATGGATAAGTACCCTTTGTCTATACAATAAAATAGTAGTCAGCAATAAAAACACTGCTGATACATGCAAGCACGTGGATGAATCTCACAGACATTAAGCTAAGTGGAAAAAGCCAGACACAAAAGAGCACATACTGTATGGTTCCGTTTATGTGAAGTTCTAGAATAGGAAAAACCCATCTACAGTGAGAGAAGTCAGAATGGAGGGGACCTCTGGGGTGGGAGCTTTGACTGGAAAGGTGTACGAGGGAGGCTTCAGGGGGCTGGAAATGCTCCTATCTTTATCTGGGCGGCCGTTAAACAGATGCAAACACATGAGAAAGTTCCCTGAGTTATCCTCTTAAGAACTGTGCAGTTCACCTTCAGTGAAAAAAATCAGGACCAGAAAAGCTACGACACTGGAAAAAACTGTGATCCAGTCACACCTGGGAGCTACACAAGGAGGAAGATCTATACACGGGACGACATGGGCGAATCTCAACACACTGTGAAGCAAAAGCAGCCAGATACAGAATGAATCAATGATGCTGTTGGTCTGAGCAGCGGGTACCCCTGCGGGTGGCCAGGGGGGTTGGGCGGAAGGAGTTACGTGAGGGGACTTCTGGGGCTCGTGGTGACGTTCTGCTTCTTGACCTACCTGCGCGCTGGTTACATGCCTGATCAGTTTGTGAAAATGCACTGAACGGTGCACTCTGTATGCACACTTTCTGTGAGAATATTCTGCGTCAGCAAAATGTCAGCAATACTCTCAGAAACAGAGACTATTATTTGGGAGATGTAACAGCTGAGAAGCAGAGGACGTAAGCAAGCTGCACAAGGCCCCACGCTTAAGGCAGTGCCACGATCGGCACCAGGTCACTGGCCCCCATGTGGCCCTCCGAACGGCTGAGCCCCCCGCCCCCCGCCAAGCCAGGGAAGGGGGGTACTTGCCTTGGAGTAGTCAGAGCCGTGCTTCTCCTTCACCCCGTTCCGGCACAGCGTGTAGTTATAAAACCGGGAGTTTTTAAGGAGGCCGACCCACTCCTTCCAGCCAGGTGGCACATAGGAGCCGTTGTACTCATTAAGGTACTTCCCGAAGAAAGCTGGGGGGTGGGGAAGAGGGGTTGAAGGCCACGTGAGAAAGCAGAGAGCAAAACTCTCCTCTGTCACCTGACTAGCACGTGCCCAAGGACTGCACACAGCGTCCCCTCTGAGCGGTGGGGCCCTTTGGCGAGCAAGTGAGGCCGATGACCCTCTTCTCAAATGTTTTTGTAGGGAGTAAAATAACACATAGGAGCACAGAGAAAATCCATTATTTTGAAATAAAGTTCTCAAAATATTAAGAATCTGCCATATAGTATGTGCCCATTTTTAAAGTTAAGATATTAAAAGCAAGACTTTGCAGAGAGCGATAATTTCAAAGACAGGATAAGTGAAAATATTTCACTTTGCAATATCTGCAAGCATTGCAGTGGGATATTAAAATATTAGTGATTTTTTATATTCAAAGTGAGAGACTGAAGAGACTGCCCTAACTTCATCCTAACAACGTTAGTGACTGTGGTTTGTGGTCTCTGTTCTTAATTGAGGCCAATGCTATGTGTCAGTTGGAGGTTAGTGAAAATAATGTCGTTTTTCCCCATTCAACTTTATGGAACCCTTGGATTCTATCTACTACACGGTGGCCAGAATGGCTAACATTCAACACCAACTGTTGGTGGGGACGTGGAGCAACTGGAATTCTTATCCACTGCAGGTGGACCTGCAAACCGGTCCAACCACTGTGGAAAAATGATTGGCAGGTCTGCTAACCTTCAACCTATTCATACCTTCCTACTTGGTGATTTGAATCCTGGGTATTTAGTCAACAGTAAAGCATTCATACATTCACCAAAAGTCATGTGCAGGACATGCTCAGGGCAGCCCTATTCACAATAGGAAACATCTAGAAACAAATCAGATGTCCACCAAAAGGATGCCTGACTACATTGCTGTGTATTTATGTAATGGAATACAGCAAAGAAGGGGATGGAAGAACCAGTGCCAACTTCAATCACATGGATGCGTCTCAACAACCTAGGAATGCTCAGAGAAATACACCAGGTATGAGAGCGCCCACTGTATGATCTCACTTATATGAAATTCAAAACCAGCCATAACACATCTGTGGCGTTGGAAAGGAAAGCAGTGGTTATCACTGGACATGGGAAGGAGGGTGGGAAGAGGCCCTGGGGCTTCCTGGGTGATGGCCTTGTTCCGCTTCCTGCTGGAACACGGGCGGTTCAGTTGGTGAAACTCCACTGAGCTGGGTGGGCATTCAGCACCAGCACACTTCCCGCATGCATGCTGCCACCACCAGGGGCGCCGCCTTTAAAAATCGAGAGCACCCTTGATTCATCTGGAAGGGGATAAACCAAAAAACTCTGTGGGTGATGAGGGAACACACAAGATTTCCCCTGTGATATGTTTTTTTCTTTACAGTGAGCATGTATGGTTTTTAATAATTAACCTCTAAAGCCATTTTTAAGTGGAAAAATCTGTGAGAGCTCTCCCGAGGGAGAGAGGCACCCTTTGCCAGCCCTCTCTGTCAGATGAGGATACTAGGGTCCTGAGACATTCCAGAACTATCACTGAGAGCTTGAGGACACATGAGATTTAAGGAGACCTCACAAGCAGAGTGCTTAGCGCCGCACTGACAAATGGTGAGCGTTCAGTGGGTGTCAGTTCAGAGCATGAGGTGAGAAGAGGCAGCCAGGGGAGGTGGGCATCCATTGGAGGGGCTGGGGCCGGCCCTTGATGTCCCTAGAGGGTAAGACGGATCCCTCCACTCAGAACCTCGAGACAGCATGGAGAGCTGTGGCCGTTCTCCTAGAGACGTGGGGGTGGCTGGCACTGCCCAGGAGTAGGAAGTCCTCCTTGGGACCCAAGCAGCGGATTCCAGTCCAGCCAAGGGGAGCATGCCATGAATTCCCCCCACCCACCCACCCATGCAGGGCCAGCAGGCGAGTGCTCCAGGGAAGGGGTGATGGGACACCTGGAAGGATCTGGGCACCAGGAGAGGTGAAAGCAGGAAGGGAGGGTCCTGAGCAACCTTGGGACAAGGCCCAGGATGGAGCCTCCTTTGCATGGAGAGCAGAGCAAAAATAAACAGCAAGAGCCCTGGCACCCCCGCAGAGGAGGGCACGGGAAACAGTCTGCCCAGCTCTGGGTCCTGAGCAACGGCCAGTGTTTAGAGAGTGACATGTAATTAAGTGGTGGGTGTCCAATTAAACAGTGACCGTGTGTCCCTGGCTGGGGGTTGGGGTGTAAAGGATTGAGATGCTGGCTGGAATAAGAGGCTGCATCAGAGTACCAGGCAAGCTGAAGGCCTGACTTTCTCCAGAACACGGCATGTTCAGACACTGCTGATGCATCCCTCAGAGCAACGGCTGTCAGCCTGGGGTGGTTTTGCTCCTCCGGAGACACTTGGCGAGGTCTGCAGACATTTTTGGTTTTGTCCCAACTGGGGGGCGCTACTGGCACTAGTGGGTGGAGGCCAGCAATGCTGCTAAACACCTACAATGCACAAGACACCCCCAGCAGAGAATTATCCAGCACAAAGTGCCAACGGTTTGGAGTTGAGAAACCCTGATCTAAAGAAGTCCACACGTCCTGCTCCTCAGTAAAATACCACACTGGGAGTGCTGAGAAGGCTCCTAGAGAATAAGTATGGTCCGGGAGACAAGATCTTCTAAGCCTCAAGGACTTCACTCCTCATGTCTGAGGTGTTGCTGCGTATGCAGGGAGTTCTACTCTGGTAACATCCCAGCCTCTCTCCACTCTCTCCAGCTCCTCCTCCCGGGGGAAGAATGACACACAGCAGGAGGCAGCAAACATTCCCGTAAAGGCCTAGGTAGTAAATATTCTAGGCTTTGTGGGTCAGTCTCTGCACCGATTCAACAGTTACAGAAATCAGTCACAGATAATGCATAAACAAATGGGTGTGGCGTTGTCCCAATAAAATTTATTTACAAAAACATGTGAAGGGCCAGATTTCACCCATGGGCTGTAGCTGCTGACTGCTAGCATATATGACCTGTGGGTTTGGGGGACAAGCTGGGCATATGTAACCCCATCATTCCTTTGCCTTTCCTTTAGGGAGTGAACTGCCCTCAAGGAATGCTTATTTTCAGGGGACTTGCTCTTGGGGGGTGAGGAGGAAAGAGGTGTGGGCCTGGCTCAGAAGGGAAGCCTGCTCAGCTCTGCAGGTTAGCATCTGGAAGCCCACATGCCCTCAAACCCAGCTTTTATCAGACTCATCAAAGTGCTATTTCAGCTCTCCATCTGCTGACTGACTCTTTTAGTTCTCAATTGGTTCAGAACTTCAACAGGAAAAAGGTGAAATTTCATAAGCGTCCCCCTGCCCCCCGAGAGCTCCAACACCTTCTATTCATATAGGCAAATAATACTGGTGGTGATGTACAAGTTTCCTTTGAAACAACCGAGAGAAAAATATTAATAATGGAATCACTGTTGCCAAGCATGGTAAAAATCATGATGGTGGCACTCCGAAATTGCTGAATTTGGGGTAACACTGCCCTGGGCATGTATGGGTTCATGTAGCCATTCAACAGCTACTTATTAAGCCCCTATGGTATGCCAGGAGCTGGAAACACAGCAGTGAATGAGACCAGCAGGCTCCCTGCCTCACGGGGCTATTCCGATTGGGGGCTGTGACAGATAAAGATGGTGTTGGTGAAAACAGTGATGAAGAAAATAAAGGATGATGATGAGACAAAGTGGCCAGAGATGGACCAATAGAGGCACTGTGGGATGGGTGGTCAGGGCAGGCTTCTGAGGAATGAGGAGAATGAGCCAGAGGGAATAAGGGAATACTAGGAAAACAGCTCCAGGCAGAAGGAATAGCACGTGCAAAAGTCCTGAGGCAGGGACAACGGGGCATTTAAGGAACACAAGGAAGCTAGTGAGCGGGGAGATGACGTTACAGGGCAGAGGGGCCAGATCACGTGGGGTCTCGAGGCTATAATGAGAAGCAACAGAAAGCATGACGGCAGAAAGGGCCTGCAGTCCCTTGAAATTGGACATAACAGATTTTGCATTTTGTGTGCATTTTCCTAGAAACATGTACACAGCTTTTCACACATTCTGAAAGGAACCCGGGACCACAGGTAATTCAAGCAGCACAGGACGTCCCTCAGTATGCCGGAGAGTGGGCGTAAGCCCGGAGGAAAAGGCTCACTGAACTCCCACAGGGGAACTGGGTTCTCCTCCAGGTCTCCCAAGTCCCAGACCTGTGAGGCCGCGGTCTGTCGTTGAAGATCCGGGCCAAGGTCTTTCTGATGAACATGCAATTTAGAATGCTAAAGACCTTAAATTCTTGGCCAGGATGGTGGGATAAGAATTTCTTGGGTGTGAGAGGTGGGGTGCCTTTGGCAGTCCACCCCGGCTCATTATTGTCCAACACCATGGGTGTCAAAGTGTCCGGAGCTATTTCCTCTGCTGGAATCTCCTTTCACATCCCTCTCCTCTCTCCAACCCCCGAGCCCTTAAAAAAAACCCAGAAAGAGTTTATTATTCAGGCTCCACAAGGCCCTAGAAAACAGGGCTTCAGTCAAAGGCTTTTAGTACCAAATTAGATTTTGCTCTCATTTGATTAGATTTCCCCAAGGCAGTTTTAAAATGGTTATTCAGGCACCAGTTGAGGTGGGAGAAGCAAATTAGCAGGGGCCCTGGGGCTCCAGGGCTGGGAGATACGACCAGCAGAATGGGCTGGAATTAAAATCAAGATTAAAAATACAGCCCAAGTCGGGGGCTGGAGCTTGGAGTCGCTGAGCTTTCGTGGCAGGCATGGTGCAAAAGGCAGAGTAAATGGGGGGCGGGTGCAGGGGAGTAATAACTTGGCAGGCAGATTAAGAGGAATTAAATGCCAGGCCAGGAAAGGCCACTGACAACGTGCTGGCTGGCAGCTGCCCCTATGAAGCAGGGCTGCCACCACCTGAGAGGACAGAGCACCTACTGCCTCTGTGTGCCAGGCACTGGGTGGAATTTACACTTGGCACTGTACACTTTTGTTATCCCCACCTGGTCCTGACTGTGGTCCTTT